CTATTGCTCCGACTGCGCCCTGTCGGCTCTGCCAACGTAAGCCGCGACAGGTTTAAACCTTCGATCCCCCTTAATCCCACTTCAGCGGTCAATCTTGAAGCTTAGCTTATTTTAGTCTACCCTCTTTCCAGCTGTCTCCAATCGTTACCTGTAGCAAGCTTCTGGCGCTTAGGTCCTTCATTAATTGGAGCGACACTTCTCTTGCGCTTTGGCGCCTTTTCCTGCTTCACAGCTCCTGGCCAAGTGGGTATATGCTCCATCAAGGTCTCCTTATCTTTTGTTTTGACCTGTACATCCTCCTTTTGGATCGTGCCTAGCCTGATTGATGCCGGTGCTGAATTTAAAGATAGTACTTCATAATCTCTTTTGAGAGAACAAGCATCTGCTTTCATTTTTGACGTTTCTTCCAAGCTTTCTATCTTTTGGGCCTTTCGCTTGTTCTCCTGGTCCACGTTTGGCGGCACTTGCAAAGACTGCAATTGTCGAGGTGCCTGATGCAGCTGCGAGTCCATCAATGCCTCCGCGACCTCTTTCTCGTCTATAAGCCGTGGTATCGTGAGAGAACCTGAATTCGAAGGTGGCACGGGGTCTATGGATGTTCCTATTCGATTAAGCTGCTCTTGAAGTCTACCGTAAGGATGCAATTTGCTTGAGAGGTGATCGCCGTCCGTAAAGCTGACATCATACCTAGCATTGAAATTAGTGAACGCTTTCCTCGGCGACATTAATACGCACGCGGAGGCGAAGAGCTCTGTGTTTCGCTCTGTCTGGTGACGAGGCGTGTTAGGCTCTGTGTCCACCAAATCTTCTCCGTCTTCTGATGTCTTCATCGTAAAAGTGTGCGATAGCGAGCTAAGAGTAAGAACAAAATGATGGTACGAGAAATCAGAGTGATTCAGGTGCCTTTTATACATGTGGCGGGGCGATTTGGCTGCCTCCATGCTGACCATCCTACAGCATATGAGCCACCTTTTTCTGTATGTACATGTAACACTGTGTGCCGCTCTTGCAGCTTCTATTAATACTAGCTTGTGGTTCACCCTGCGCTCTTAGATTGAACCCCGCTTTCATGGAATATTTGTGAGCCTGATACAGGATACCGTCATTCTCTGCATCATCGTCTGGCATTTATTTAATGTATTCTCATCACAACGACAATAATATGCGTTTATGTGATAGGTAGCAACAAATACCAATATGCATTCATTCCGTAGTGGCAATGTAGCTTGGAATAGAGAGGACCGAGCCTTATTTAATAGCCGTGGGTTAGATGGCGAGGTGTTTACATCTCGCGCCTAGGCTCGTGCCTGCTTGTACTACTACAGGAATGCTTGTTGTTATCTTTTACCCCACTTCATGGCACGCGACATATCGTCTTAAGTCGCCAGACGTTCGCTCCAATGAAAGGTAGGTCAATTCAAAGGCTAATACTAGTCCAAGAAAGCAATTCTTGTCACGACACATGGAATCAGCTCAACGTGAAAAGAACAGAACGAGATGTAGCGTAGTGGAGACATTACATGGAGAATGTTATCTACTGTATTGTGTATCGAGGTCACCAACGGAACGAATGAAAACGCAACCAAAATGCGAGTTCTATCTACATAGTGCTACTTCTACCACACTTGGCTGTAGTTCCTTTGTACCAAAGACTCATGAAATGTATGCTGCTACTGTACCGGACAGTACAGTACAGTAGCACAACTATCACAGGAAAGGACAAGTGAAAGCATACCTGAATGAAAAGTAAGCAACAAGGAACATAAACAAGAGTCTCCAACGCTCTGCTACAGCAAATTCTCGTCCTTTATCAAGCACGAAATGGCCTGGCGATCCAACGAAACCCTTTTCCTCTGTGCATCAGTCCCTTCCCAAGCGCCTTCATTGCACTTGAGATCAATAACATTTCCGTTTCGCCACTGTACCTGCACCGAGAGGCTGTCGAGACATGCCATCAGTGACCTCATCGGCCAAATATGACGTGTTTGGTCTTCCCATAACTGGGTTTGGACATCTCGCCGGAAAGTGAAGTCCGCCCCAGACTTTAAGTGAAGCGTCGCTCCTACAGCTCGTAGCGGTTGGCGTTTTCGTGGTGTATCAAGTTGCTGGATGGTCCTCTTCTGCGTTGCAGGAACATTATCTACCATGACAATACGGCTGATTCTCATCGCGTCGATAGTAGCTAGAGCTGAGCAATCATCTGTCGATCTCGTAGCAATTTCCCCATCATGTCTGCCGCTCTCGCATTTTTCTGTTGGTTCGTTGGCCAGAAAAGACATGTCGCCCCAATGGCAGTCTTCATCGCCGAGAAGCTCATCAGGGACGCTGCCCCAATATATCTCACTGTGGTCGCCATCGCGGTCGCCAGACATGTTGAGAGATAGTTGTAGGTTATTAAAGTGAGAAGCCAGAAGGTGTTGTGACAGAATGTTCAAGGGCTCGGAAATCTCGAGCAAACATTATCTCGTTAACCTCGTGGAGTCGTACAGTACTAAATTTCTACTCGGCTTCTACGCTAACAAACCGGCACAACTTGACTGACAGGCACAATTTTGGGCCACGTCAGTTTGCAAGCAACCTGAGGCTGAATAGGCCTGGTAGAAACTTCCGAGCGGCCTGTAATGCTGCTTAACGTAATCCACGCCTTTCACACACTTCAGGCTGTTGGCCTATACAAGCATCCTAGATCAGGACCAAAAGTGCGTTCAGGAGAAACTAAGTGGCTAATAGTGGACACCTTCCAAGATTTTAGTGACCAATTGGCAACCTAAGTCTTTACCCCACTGACCGCTTTGCCCCCATGGCTCTTCAGGCGAACCGCCGTACTGTAACGTCCTCCACTCTCGAACCCAGCTCCACGGCGCATAAAACTGACTGCGCATTTATTCACAGCATGTTTTCAGTATGTAAGTACTTTATATTAGCGTTTGTAGAGAAGGGGATGGTAGTTAATGTTACAAAGCAAGCGTAGAGAATGGGTGAGGCGAGAAGAAACAGTATACAAGAGCAATTAGGTTCGCGAAGTCTTACAGTATCGCCATTTACCAGGTAAAAGCAACTGCCCGAGAGTACTGTATTTCGACCCACCTACTCGGGACCGTTCTGTACAGATCAATTCCTGTCATCTGAAGGACATACGTAATTGGACATCTATTTATGTCTAATTGTCACTCTATTGACGTCGTTGAGAGCTACTCGTGGCTTTCCCTCTCGGCGGCATGGACGGCACGGCAAAATAAATCGCCGTAGGAGAAAAGTTAGCCTATACCAGCGGATTATTTTATTAAAGCTTCACAAGAAAACTGACGAGCACAGCTCGCTCCGATCTGATGCCTATGCCTGCTTGTCTAGTTGAGGTTGTTTTCAGGAGACAGTAAATTCGAATGGCAAGGCAAGTAAAAGCATTCTAGACATGCCCAGTCCAGTTTTATACGGGGCCAAAGTATGCGGGTAGATACATCGATGTGGACATCTGCTATGTCCAATAGCTTGTTTTTACGCATCGTTACAAACGTCCCTTGCGCTGCTGCGTTGTCCGCTTCCTGTATACCAAACAAACTAGCCCCCCTTGGGGGTGCCCCCATTTTGCGTGGCGGAGTGATTGATCCTGACTTCAACAGCAGCACAAGGCGAATACTACGTAGCATCCAGTTCGGGATATTTCTGGAAAAAATAGTGGGCCCCGAAGGTAAGACAGAGGACAGTCGCCACTGTGGCTCATACAGTATGTACGAGCAATAACTCGGAAATCTTTACACCTAACGTCTCGCAAATAGCGCCATCACGTCGTGTCATTATGGTCAACTTGAACAAACATGTTGCCTAGTTATTTACATATTCTGCTGCTCAAAACCTGCAGCACCACCATCACTGCAGCCGTTTCTGCCTAGCAGCCACCATAATGTTGCCGGCCGTAGTGACAGCTCCCTCCACTATTAATCCGAAAATTAAGCCAGAAATCAATATGACGCGGTTTGCAAGATGTTAGCTTCTTTGCGATGCACACCAGCCAGGGATCAGGCAGCGAGGTCAGTTCTGGGCTGAGCGCTGCAGCATCATTTGCTCTCAGCTATCTATCTAATTCCAACCACGCCGAGCAGCCATATAAGCTAGAGCATCACAGCCACTAATATCGGACACCATATTAAGGTCTGCCGATTGTTCCCGCTCCCTTTTGAGGCAGCATTCGGTATGTTCACCGCAGTAAGGGTATACATAAGCACCAGCAGGGCATGAAAGCTCTTCAGGGCATGAGCTCCTGGAAAGTCATGGTAGCCGAGGCGCCTTAGGCTCTAGCTAGGCGCTGAGGCACCTCGCAGAAAACAAGCTTCCAGACAACTCTGAAAAAAGAAAAGAAAGGTAGAGGTAGAGGGGCCGCAGCTTCGGGAGCGTGGTGGTCAGTATTCGCCTCGTGAAACTGCAAAAAAATTGTAGGGTCCATGGCTGTTTATCGCCCAGCAATGTCTCGATAGGTTGCAGAGTAAGGAGCCAAAAATGGCTTCCGTTGCTCGAGACTTGCAGAAGTACACAGCTTTTGCACAGTTCCTGGCCACAAGTACTGTACCCACAGCTTTTAGCCCCTACAGTACGTCAAGCAGATGCCCTACTGTGCCATCCCTAATCAGCTCCTTTGGATGTGTTGTTCCTCGCAGGGGGGCACCTGAAATAATAACCCCTAGAAGTGGACTTCTTGCGGCCTCTTGCCATACCGTTCATACTCAGAGTTCGATATTCGAGCTGCGTTCGCTCAGATCAGGTCTGCTCGTGGCGTCTTTTCTCGTTTGTCCCAGACTCTTTCGAAGACCGTGGTACGTTTGCTTCGTGGTTGATCGCCATCACGTGCTTGCGCCATTTTGTTAGTCGTGACCCCACACGGCGGCGCGTAATTAGCGCGTCTACGTGGCGCGAAAAGAAAGCGGAGAGCGACTGTGGGCGTAATGGCTATGCCGCCTTTTGCGTCGCCTTCACCGACACTCCGCGGTTGTATCAGCCAAGCCGCGATGAGTTCCTTCTTTGCTTCCATACTAAATCCTTCGGAAGAGTCGCCGGACATATTCAATTCAGATCTGCGAAGCAGTACAAAGCAACCGCGCAGTTCGCTGGACTGGCCGAGGACATCCAAAACCGAGGTAAGTAAATCAAACCCACCTCGAGAGTGGTGTGCAGCTGTAAAGAAATTGGCAAAATAAGTAATAAGACCACTGGAAATACTCGCAACCCGAATTACCCTCTCGTCGTGGCCAGGCCTCGGAATTACGCTCGCAGTCCCGCGAACGCCACTGAAGCATACGTGAACGATGCGAGTGGCAGTTTATCCACCGCGACATCCACGGCATATTTTGTCCGTTCGAAGCGAGCAGCACCCAATGCAACCGAAATATCTGTCGAGAAGGAGGGCGAGCGAGCAGGCGAAAGACTGGAACAAGCAGAAGAGGAGGGGGCAGATGACGGCCATGTACGCGCCTGCTGCTTCAAGCGCTTCGTCCAACACCGTTGGGCGGGGGACTCGGTCGAGATCCAGGTCGAATGGGACGAGGGTGATATTACCTGGGAACCTGAGGGCAACCTACATGAGGACGCCCCAGAAGCCCTCTTTGCATACTGGAAGAGTCAAGGTGCAAGGCCAACGAACCCCGCTGATCCCGACTTGTTCTGCATATTCGCAATACGGAAACATAACAACAACCGCAAGCGGCTTTTAGTGGAGTGGGTGGGCTACGGCCCAGAGGATATGACGTGGGTATCGCGGAGGAGTGTGGAGGAGACAGCGCCAGAGATGGTGGCGCAATACTTGAATAAGGTGAAACGGAGACGGTGAAGGCGGTTCATGGGAGCACACCGATGACCGACTTGCCAATTTGGACTTCGAGGCTCCCTTATCAGGTTTCGAACTACAAATTACGAGTGTACATCCGCACTAAATACGACCACCTCCGTCCGCGAACCGAGCGTAAGTTGAGGCTTTCCCAACGGTTTGCCTCGATTGACCTGATGGTGCTCAAGAACGATGATTCAAGAAAAGCACAGGGACCATTTCGCCCATTTCCGCACAGAATGAAACGCCGAATACCGCCAGAAACACGGTCAAAAGTCGCAGGCGGCCGGAAAACCTGCGAACCCTGATCAAGGATCCGTTTCCATCGTTGAGTTTTCATCACGCGCTGGCTGGGAATTTTTGACTTCCTGATATTGTGAAATGTGGTGCGAGTATTAGCACCGGAAACCAAGCTTCTAGTTCCCATATCTAGGTTCGAAATAGGGCTTCGCATACTGGCTGGGGTCGACTGGCTCGCGTCCTCGGTTCCTTGAAGAAGCAGATCACAGTTTCCAACCGTGGGCCCCCTTCTGCCCCTCGCTACGATCTTGGCCTCTGAGCCGTTTCTCTCCAGAGTATCGCCTCAGCTTCTCCGCTCCTCTACTGCATACCCCAATATCATGCCCATTGTCTCTTTCACCGGCCCAGCTGTCGGCTCCGGGCTTGATCTCCTTCACGCGGATATTGCCAGCGCGTTCGATGAAGCGCAGCCAAAACGCTGGGGCTTCGTGCAGCTTTCAACCTTTTGGTGTTCCGGCAAGCCCGAGAAAACGCCTTACAAAGGGTTCCATTCTTTCCATGTCTGTGTCATCTTCCCCGTTCAAGTTGAGAGACGTGACTCTCAGCTTCAGCCAGACGCACCATTGACTTGCACAGGTAAGGTTGTCGCGAAGCGTGGCCTGATGTCGGAGATCTCAAGGATGCCCTCTACTACATAAAGGCTTCATAAAGTCCAACTGAGGGGAAGCTGGCTGCAAAAGGCTTGCAGAGGGGTGTGCGGGGCGTAGAGAGGCTGGAGGCAGGCATGATGGGTAAGCAAGATGCAGGGAGCGGGCTGGCCAAGTATAAAGAAGGCTAGGAAGGATAGAATGAACAGGAAGGCTGCTAGGGTCAATGGATATAAAAGGAAGCCTCTTGGATAGGCAAGGATAGGGACATAAAATGGCAATATCTCTGAGAACTACCCTCCTGGCGGCCAACTACAGCATCCCGCTGAATTCCTATTGGCCAGCGCCCGAAGTCGTGAACGATGTGGACGATGAGGTTGAAAACTTCAGCGACGGATTACACAATGGCTTAAGGAACATTCTGGCATCAAGTGCGACAATTCTGAACACAAACTCGTCTCTATGTCTAGTCGCGGTTTCTCCAATGGTTTTGATACACTGGTGCGTGGCACCTCAAGCCTCACAGATCATCTTGCACTGTGCCAACCGTTCCACCGTTCGCTCCATGACAGACCTGCTTGAAGGTCAATTCCTCCAAGTGTCCAGCATCCTATCCTCAGCAACTGAAGCGCGATATGTCGAAGTTGAAGTTGACTGTCCCACTTTATTCTTTGCTGAATGCAAGGCTCCCTGCTCGCGGCTATCCCCTTTCACTCCTCTCCAGACCTCTGCTAAGCCTTTCTCTAATTGGCCAGGAGATTGTCTCCCATCTCCTCAGCAACCTGAGCTTCTACCCTTTCATCCTCTACGTTGCTCCAGTCGAGATGTGTCATAATTTCCTCTTTCGTCCACTCTCTCGATCCTGTCGCGGTAGTACATAGCTTGGACATCTGTTTGTAGTCCAAACACCACTCGTAGCTCTGCTTGTTATACCTGAGTGGCAGCTCCATGGCCCTACGATACTGCCGGTTGGTCTTGAAGCTGCCAGCAGGCTGCATCGCGTACCATGCGCTCCTCGCAGCGACGTATCTTTGTATATTGCCTGTGGCGAATCGTACCTCGGTCAAGGGGATGGCAAACCAGATGAAACGGATGGTTCATGAATAAGAGCTCCTGGCATCTGACGGTCCTCGCCAGGCCGGTCCAGTATGTCCCCTATACCTGGATGGTCAGGGGAGTGAGTAGTGGCAAGTGATTCCATCACAGCAAGTGAAAGGGATGGAGCAACCCTGCTGAATCTGGTTGCATGAGTCCTTGGGTTCTGTTATCATATATTCCAAAGGCACTGCATCTCTTATACCTTGGTCAAGTCCGGATTATGTGCTTCTGTCCTTCAGTTGGTGCCCGTATCTATGTAGAGAGTTCCTGACGCAGCCCATAAGTATTAGTTCACCAGCCAGCACATTTCGTCGCGCTGTACAGACTTAAAGCAGCTAGAAACGGGACTTGATACAAGTGTGGACAGCAAGTTGAATTACATGTTCCAGACAGCCGCGCGATTTCAAGGAGCGTATCCTGAATCTCTGCGGCTACCTCGCCATAACAGTGCGGCCTCCGTCCTTAGTAACACGCTTCCTTACACGAATCTTCAAAAAACCACAAGTGAGCCGAATCAAACGGGTGTCTCCAATTAGGTCGTCTCTCAGCTCATTTAATTTAGGGGGGTCGCCCCTGGGGACCACAGAAAGCGAAATCGGCGTCTCGATCGTGTCCATTATAAGATTGCTCTTCCGTTCCTGGACTTGAACGACGGCGCTAGGAGCAAACATAAGCGCTTGACCCGTACGAAGGTCCACAATTTTCCTGAAAAGTTCCGTTCCAAGTCCTGCGAGTGGAGGAGGAGACGAGTTGTGACCTGGCGAGGTCCAGTCCTCATCATTGGACTTCTCAGAAACCTCCCTGGCTTGGCTGGAGAAGGCCATTGCACCAGCGAGATGTTGCTGAAGGACTCGAAGCCAGTCTGGAGAAGTGAACCGATGCACAATGGTGATCGAGCAAAGATCTTGCAGCTTTGGCGAGATAGTTGGTTCTTGGGTCGATACAATGACCCGAGTGCCGATGTGACGCTGTAGTCGAATGGTCGAAAGAAGGGACTCTGTCAATATTGCACACTCAGCCGTGTCTGCCATGTATTTGTGCGCCTCGTCGAGTGCGATCACACGGCCCAAGCTTGTGCTCTGCTCCAGAAAGAGACTCAAACATATATTAAACAGCGCGCAGGCGGCCTCCGCGGTGAGACAGGGGCAAGAGAGGTCGATGATAGTTAGCAGTCCGGGCTGCAAGTATCGGTTAGTCACTTATTCTTGCGTTCCGACTGAAACATACTTACTTGAAGGCTCCAGTTGATCCCACTTGCCTCGGGTGCCTTTATAGAGCCTGAATTCCTCGTTTTTTTTACCTGAGCTGCTGCTTGCGGCTGGGCCATAAAACTCTCCAATGTGTCCAGACGCTGCTGGAGCGGACTTCGTTGGCCAGGAGTCAATTCTTCGTTATCCAGTGCCCTCTTGAAAGCAATATAGTCGAAGTTCTCATTGGTTGCCTGCTGCGCAATCCGCAAATCTCGGAGAATGCGGGTAACTACATGCAAGTATAGCGGCATTCCGCCCCCTTGCACGGAACTGACTGCCATCAAGTCAAGCATGCGCTTGGTGTTGAGATGTGACTCGTTAAAGCGCAGTTCTTCAACATCCACGCTTGCTAGGGGGCTGCAAACCCGCTATTGATGCATTAGTATCGGCAGCCAGCCGGCCACTCCGGGCATCAAGTTTTGCTAACATACTTTCATATGTCTGACATTCGTTGGTGGACATAAGACTTTGACTTTTATTCCTTTATGAGATGATAAGTACGCTGCCTCGCATGGGCTACCTCCGATATCTGATACGAACGTGTCGTGATGAAAAACTATGCCGGTTAAGGGACGCGGAAGAACGTTCGCCTCCGACGGAAGTAAGCAGTTCTCTAGTAAGCAGCTGAGAGTGTGACTTTTCCCTGAACCTTGACTACCACAGATAAACACACTTGATGGCGTAGAGATGTTGTAATAGATTCTGGGGTCATCTTTGGCCGAGGCAAGGCCATCCGGAACAGGGATGGACATCTTACGAATCTATCGTATCGAACGCCAAGACTTGGCGTTCGAATCGAATAGTGCCTCTCCAGATTCGTATCGAATCGAACACGGCTCCTGCAGATTCGCATCGAATCGAACGCGTGAAAATTCTTGTGCCTTCGATTCGACCTCGAATCGAACGTGTCTCCAGTAGATTCGCATCGAATCGAACGCGTCTCCCGTAGATTCGATATCTATCGAATGCCATGGTTCGATCGAATTCGTAACGAATTCGATCGAACGTGGGACTTCAGCGGAGATCGGGGCATCAAACGTGCGTTGCACCGACATGTCTTTGCCACCATCACGAGGGCTACTACATCCCTCGACTTAAGAAGTGCCAAGGGGTGTACAGACATCAAGGCTGCAGCAGATGAGACGTCGAAAGCACGGTCAATTGCTGTCCTAACAAACTGGTCAAATGTCACTCGGCCCCTTCAGCGACGCAAGAGCATCAACCCATTGATCCTCGTTGAGGCTAAACAGCGGCAGTGAAGGCGTGTAGATCCCAGCTTTACTCCACGATCGAATGCATTGAGCCATCGCTACGATCTCCCTCCGCAACCGGCTTCTCAATGGTGCCGTCATACGTCCTGCACTGCTAAACGTCCTCTCGCTTTCCGCGGACGTCGATGGAATCGTAAGCATGTCTACTGCCATCAAAGACAGTCGCGGATATCGGCTCCGGTTGATCTTCCACCAGTCAATCGGTCTGCTTCTGTAGTGGTGGCTGTTGACGGCGTCCTCGGCACAATATCGAGCATATTCGTCATCACCAGTCGCTCCCGCCGTAGACGGTTTCGTCTTTCGGTTACTCTTGCGGGCACCTGACGCTCCGAACGAGCCCTGGTTGAATGGCGAACCAGCTACAGTCCTCGCAAGTCTCCGCTCAATGTAATCCATGGAGGCCTCATCGGACGTAGCGAGGATCTCGTTGTCAACGTCGCGCTCCCTATACTTCTCCCAGATCTCCAAGAGCTTTGCTTCGTATTCCAACCGCCAACTCTTCGTCTTCCGAGAGGGTACTCGAGACCACAGTTGATCGAGAAGGCGCCACTTTTTCGCAGGATTGAAGACAACAGCCCCGACATATGCAGCGCTAGTCAGCCGGCTGTAATATTTATGTAGCTTCTTCCATCCGAGCTTGATATAGACCTTGAGAAGCCTGCGGGTCCTGCTATCGAGCCCGTCATAAATGGCTACTTCAACGTCCTTCTTCTCCCTGGTCACTGGATCCTCAACCTCTTCGAAGATTGTGCCTTCGATAGCACTTTCGAGGTGGTCAAGTAAGATCTCAAAGACAGGGAAGTATTCATCGAAACTGCCACATGTGGACCTACCACCGGGAACACCGCTGCCCTGAAGTTGCTTGTTGGCAATCTCGAAAGGCTTCAGAAGCTTGACAAGTACCCCGATAACTTTCCAGTCGTACGCACTTAAGCGGTATTGCAGAACTGCCGGCTTCGTTCTGTCACAGAGGCCCTCGGTTTCCCACCGGTTCTGAACGTCATTAAAGAAGGTATTGAGCGCCGGGCGGAGTCGAAGAGCCCGTTCCATCATACGCATGTCCGAGTTCCACCGGGTGGCATTGTTGAAGGCCCAGTGAAGTGTTGTTCCGTGGCCGGATTCCTTACGTTGAGACTGAAGAAACTGTTCGTACAGCTGTGTGTTTCGCAGCTGAAGACCGATGTTATGGAGCATTCCAGGGGCGCCGTTCTGACTGTACTCCCTGAAGGTGGCAGCATTGATCTCCTCCGGAGCCGGGTGGGACGATATGAGGTCCTCATCTGGGATTTCAACGGCAGTGTTTGCTCCTGGGTTCGTCCGTACCGTCCTCCATCTCTCCATTTAGGGCCTCGTCGATAGCTTGATCAACTTGCTCCTCGTCGTCATCTAGATCGTCCCCATCGGCAGCAACAATTGCAGCAAAATTCTCTCGCTTCGAACCGTACAGCATTGCCCGCACACAGAGGTTGAGGATATGCGCAGCGCATCGGATCCGTCGCTCTCCGGGTGAGAAGCCGTGCTCAAAGGCAAGGTCTTCCATGCAGGTGTCATTGTTTGCAGCATTGTCCAGTGTGAAGTAGCCGACCGTGTCTGGGTTGTTGACTTGCCAGAATGCCAGTGTATCGGCGACCTCATCGGCAAGCGACGCACCGTTGTGTTTGCCCGAGAGAGGTCGCAGCCCAAGGAGGATGCGGTGTTGGGCAAAGTCGTGATCAATGAATTGAGCATTGATGCCCAGAAATGCGGTGTAGGACTTGGATGACCAGCCGTCGAAGGAGAAGTGAACCTGTGATCGAGCGGTGCGAAGTACTTCCGTTACGGGCCCGACGGCACCTCTGTATTCAGATTCGAGCATGCGAAGTAGCGTCTTCCCAGAGGGTATATGGGTCGCATCAAGGAGCGGATTGCCGTAGAGAAGGAGCCGTTGGAACCTCTCGGTGTTGACGATATCGAATGGCAGATTATGGTACGTGATCCAGTCGAGTAGGAGCACCCGGAGCCCCTTGCTGTTGAATCTTCCACGCAGCTTGCTGACAAGGAACTGGTCGTGCGGATTATTGAAGTCGGCACCAATGAAGTGGGTGATGGGCCGGCCGTCCAGAGATGAGGCTCGCACGCCTCCGGCAACGTCGTTTGGGGCCTGCCAAGTGAACACTCATGTTGCTGGTATATCTCCGAACGGCACACACTTACCAGAATTCCGTGGGCGTTACGAAGGTGCTTCTTGATAGCGGCTCCTGTTGAGCAGACGAAGCAGAAGTCTGACTTCTTCTTGAAGCCTCGGGCGAAGCAATCCGCGCAGATCCACTTCAGCCTGTTGCCCTGGCGCGAGGTGGACCGGTCCTCAACACGATACCCGTATTGCTGCCACCACGCCCTCGTATCCTGGCCGCCAGTATAGCGCTCGAATCCAGGCCATTTCGCCCACTCTTGGCGGCCCCAGAGCGTCCAATCTACTTGTATAAAGTCGACAGCAGTACCGCGAGGACGAGGTGATGGAGTCGTCGGCAACGAGGTTCCTTGGGATGATGCGGGTGGTAAAGACGAGTACTCCACACGCCCAATCAGATCTGACCGGTTCGACGGGGAAGGGCTTGACAGTGGTTCGGATGACATCGTAACGTTGGTTCGATCGTGCGAATTGAGCGAGCGCGCCGACAGATGAAGGTAGAAGCCATCGAGGCTTCGCCGGCGCTCAACTCATGCCACATCGTGGCAGCGAAGCTCGGCGAAGCAGGCATAACGCGTCCCACGCGCGTGTAGACGCGGGAAGGGGAAAAAAGAAAAGAAAAGAAGAAAAACCGTCGGGGCGCAATCTCCGTTGCATTGGCTAAAGTGGTCTGGACGAGTGAAAAGAGCTTCCGTCACCAATGCACAACGACGATGGACCGTGGGGTGCTGCGAAGATCCCTGGCCTCCGGCATTGATGCTTGCTTGACTGGCTTCCGAGGCGTCAGGCCCGGCATCTCCGCCCGTGCTTGCAGCCAGTTAAATCGAAGGCGCCATAAGGCCCCGGCTACCTTGTCTGATATATCCCCTGTTCATCAGCGTTTCCAGTGCCCCCATTGGCTTGCGTCCTAGTGCACAGATCATCGTGGCGTGTGACGAGTCGCTTCCTTTGGCTCTGGTCCCCCTTCTCGTGCCATTCTCGTCTCGTATCTAAATCGGCCTTGAGCTCGTTTGAGGTAGTCAGAGCTTTGAGTGCAGCTGGGGGAGTGTTATGAAGTCGCTTGTACATCGGCCTGGAGGCTGGTTGGGTTTGGGCAGAAGTTACTGTGACAAAAAGGCGATGAATATTTTGAGAACATTTGGGAGGGCCTGTAGGAGACGGTCAAAGTTGTAGCACAAATGAGATTCCAACGTCGAAATGTCATTATAGCTGTGGTAATTGAGGTGCTGATATACAAGTTCTGCGGGAGAGATACTCTAAATGGGTCGGTTTCTTGTTTGCAGCCGTCGAAATACAGAGAGGATGGGCACGTATAGTAAACTCAACGTCGGAACCGGGTGCCCGGGTAAACCTACCCTATACCCTGGTCAGACAATCGAAATCTTATCTTATCTACCTTCCTTTGCCATGACACTTTCTTGGCATGCTATTGTTAAGAAAGTGGCGCTATCCTAACCTATTTGTCTAACACGTGCACGCCAACCTCTGCAGCAGCGCTCTGCGCTGGCTTCGGCTGCGGCCATGGCATCTGCCACGAGCTCGCATGCCAGCTCAGATCCCTTTGATCTGGGTGCTCATACTCCGCCTAACCTTGCTCGCTTAGCCCGTGCATCTCAGCTCCGTGACAGTTCTCCTATTGTGACCCGCCCTATTGGTCTCTCATCGACATTCCGGCGACCGGCCGCAACGCCGTCGTCGCCTCTAGTCCGTCTCTCACATGCCGCCGCTACGGAAGGAGCGTGGTGCGACCCCGCCCGGACCGGCCCGGCACCGCTGAGACCAGCAGGCTCCAGCCGGTGTCCATAATTGATGCAGCCAACAAACTTGCCGGCGACGAAACCGATGCCCATAACGCTAAAATGACAGTCTTCCGAGCCTTTTGCGAATCATTCGAGCAGACTGCGAAGCAATTCACATCTGGTCTCGAACACAGCTTTGCAGAACACTTCTCCAACCGCTTTCTTGACCTTTGGAGGCAGACACCCTCCGATCTCCGACTCGCACCGGCGCCGACATACAGCAGCGTCGCCGCCGGTCGCACCGCAGGCCAACCGCCCGGGGGCCACGCCCCTACGGTTGCTGCAGCCCCGCAACAACAAGAGCCACAACAGCCAATCTCCCGTCTCCAGGGACGACCAATCCCCGCCCCACCGAAAGAAGACCTCCGGGTTTTCGTGCGGCTCCCGGCCGAAGCGCCAGCTAGGGACCACAACAGCTACGCAATCCGGACCCACGTCGCCGCCAAAGTCGGCATCGGCCTTCACCAAGTCCCAGCCGCTTTCAAGGTGAACTCCGGATGGGCCATCCGGACGACGGATGCAACTATTCGGGACCTTATCGTCCAACGACAGTCCGAGTGGTCTGAGGACCTGGGCGTGACAAATGTGGAGATCAGCCAGAGATGGTACACCTATGCCGTGGCAAACTGCCCCCACACCCTCACCGACCTATATGGGAAAGAATTGGACTACGAGGCAGCCGCCAGAGACGAGATCGCCTGCCAGACCGGCCTCACACCCATCAGGGTGCGCTCCGCCAGGCGCAAGCCGAATGAGCCCCTGACCTGTACATTGATTGTATCATTCCTCGAACCCACGCACAAGCCCTGGAGGCTGTTTGGATCCAGCCGGCTCGCCCGATATGTCGAGAGATCCAGCCTGCCCAGCCAGTGCGACAAGTGCTGGGACTTTCACGCCCAACACACCTGCGATCGACAAGCGTCTTGCAAGCGATGCGGACGGCGCGGTCATGACGCCGAGATCTGCGTAGCCCTCGAGCGGTGCGCGAACTGTCTCGGGCCTCATGCCGCAGACTTTGCGAAGTGCCCTGCGCGCCCGAAACGATCACACGGCGTCATTCGCCGTCTGACGAGAGAAGAGAAATCTCGCGTCCGAGAGCTGGGCGCTCAACTGTCCGCCCAGCGAAAGGAACAATACGAGAGCGTAGAACGATCAGAGCCACCCGCGCGGGATGACGCCCTCACGCCGGGCGGCATCACCGAACGGACGGCGACGCCTGGATCTGACAGGAGGGCCGTCTCGGAACCGACGCAACCCAACCCGCGACCTCAAGCGCTGCTCAAAACGACGGCCAGCCGGCTCAATCTCAAGATGTTGCGCCACGGCGTGGCAGCGTCACCTCGACCCTAAGTCCTACCAGGACCATAACCCCGCCGCCTGTCATTATGGCCCCACCACCCAAGCCTCCGGGAGGTCAACGGCACAGATCTGCCTCTCCACGAAGAAGCGGCGCATCGCCCAGGACTCCGTCTCTCCATGACGAGGTACCCCCGTACAAATAGAGGTGGCAATAAGACTCTGCGAGTCTTCCAAGCCAACGTGGGCAAGATCCCGCCAGCACACGACTGCGCGCTTGCCCTCGCGGACTCTGAACGATATGATGTGGTTCTACTCCAGGAGCCATGGACAGAAACAAAGGGGGCCGATGCCTTACCAAAACGCATCCCGCCTACGACACCTTCTCCCGGTAGACAGCTGGGAGAACAATAGCACCCGACCCAGGGTCATGACCTATGTCCGCCGCAGGCCGGGACTGATGGTAGATCAGAGAAGGCCCACGGCAACACGTGACATTCTCTGGCTCGTGGTCAACGACATCACTCTAGTCAACATTTACCGCCAACCGTCGTACGACGAGGCACTTGACATACTACTCCGATGGCCAGCACCTGACAGATGTCTGGTAGCTGGCGATTTCAACGCCAAACACCACAGCTGGCAAGCCGGCCGCATCGAAGGTCGCGGTGAGGCTGTAGCTGCATGGGCGACGGCCAATGGTCTGAATCTGCTCAATCCGGCTGACGTCCCGACAAACCCTCATGGCAACACGATAGACCTTGCTTTCTCTAATATTGCCTTGGCCGCCGCGGTGGTCGAGGACCACCTCGCTACCAGCTCCGACCACTTCACGCTCAATATCACCCTCCCCGAACTCGCCGTAACGCCTCCACCCACTGGAAAGGTCCGTCTCACCTCTGACGAGGAAATACGACGCTTTATCGAGATGGTTGAAAACGGTGTGGCGGCTATCCAGCCGTCGACCGCATCCCCTCAAGACCTGGATTCACTTGCCCTGGCAGTGACTAACCTATTTCAGTTTGCCGCCAAGGCTGCAGGCCGGCCGGTCCGCAAAGGTGCGCGCAGCGCACCCTGGTGGACGGAGGAATGCGTCTTGGCGGCGGCGGAGTATCGCGCGGTGAGGAGAGTCTTCCCTCTCGGTTTCTGTCGTGAGGTTCAGCTCGCCAAAAAGACCTTCCGGAGAGTCGTGCGACGAGTCAAGCGCCGCTACTGGCGCGACCTCATTGACAGCTTTACGGACAGCGCATCCGTCTTCAGGGCAGTCCGTTGGTTGAGATCGCCCGGTGCTTTCCAACCACCGCCTCTGCAAGTGGACGATGCAGTTTACGAGACCCAGCTGGACAAAGCCAACGCACTGCGACGGGCAACGCTCGAACGCCGCACCTCGCAGGACGACATCACGGACCCGTGGGTCCCAGTGGATCCAGTGAGAACAATTCCATTCTCCCAGGACATCTCCTCGAGGAGGTCCGGGACGCAACCCTGCGAACGGGTAACACCTCTCCCGGCTCTGATAACATCACTGTCAAGATGCTCCGTGCCGTTTGGCACGCCATTGGGAACCTTGTCCACAAGCTGTACCAGGGCTGTCTCAACATCGGCCACCACCCCAAGCCTTTCAGGAAGCGGAAGTGGTTATGATCACAAAGCCAGGGCGACGGAACCTGTCAGAGGCCCGCGCCTGGCGGCCGATCTCGCCCTCTCTTGCCTTGGTAAGGGCTCGAACGGCTGATTGCACGCCGTTTGGCGTGGGCATCAGTCCACTATGGTGTTTTGCACTCGCAACAAGCCGGCGCACTGCCCAAAAGGTCCGCCGTTGACCTCGTCGCGGCACTAGTCCACGACATTGAGGAAGCTTTCGCACGCAAGCAGGTGGCCACACTCGTGACGATGGACATCGAAGGTGCCTTCGATACCGTCCTCCGTAACAGACTCATTCTCCGCCTTCGACAGCAGGGGTGGCCCTCGAACGTCGCTCGCTGGGCCGGCTCCTTCATGCATGACCGAACGGCATGTATCCGCTATCAGGACGTTACGACTCCGTCGTCACCCCTGCAGTGCGGACTGCCACAAGGTTCACCAGCCTCTCCCATTCTGTTCTTGCTGTATACGGAGCCAGTCTACCGCTTGAGCAGCCCGAAAGGACGCTTCGGCTATGCAGACGACACCGCTATCCTTTGCGTCGGCAACAATCTGGAGGAGACTGCCCGCAAAGCGTCAAGACACGTCCACGAACTCATGGAATGGGGTACCGAAAATGCGATAGCCTTTGACCCCAAGAAGACCGAAGTCATGCACTTCTCCCGAACGAAGCCGAGAACTGCACCGCCAGTCTTCCATGGCGAGATGGAAAAGCGGCCGGAATGCGCCATGCGCTGGCTAGGCATCTGGCTCGACAGCACCCTGTCCTTCAAGACCCACGTCGAGAAGTGGACAGCCAAAGCGCAAAGAGTAGCCCACCACCTCCAGGGAATGACGAACACCAACCGGGGACCCCTGCCGAGTGCGGTCCGGAGAGCCGTCCGCGCCTGCATCGAGCCTCAACTCCTCTTCGGAGCAGAGGCATGGTACCCGGGCATGACCAGCCCGCGATGGACCCAACCGGTGAGGGAAGGGCCTTCAGGAATAAGACACCTCATCCGGCGAATGGACAAGTCGCTCCATACGGCCGTGCGGGCCATCCTTCCAATCTGGAAGACCACGCCGCTGAGCGCTAGGCACCGGGAAGCTGGTATACCGCCAGTTTCGCAACTGCTCGAGTCGTACCGAATACGCTTCGCGGCCCGCCTCAGGTCCCTCGATGAAGCACATCCACTTGTGACGCGAACGAAGCCGATACGGGCCCCGCCATCAACAGGGCCATCAAGCTCAAGTATCAGCTTCCACGAAAGCCTTTCCGACCAGACTGCGTCGCACTGACGAGCTGCTAGCCAGATGCGCCAGGCCAGAGCTCCTTCCACGCAGATTCGCCAGCGGCCAGCCCTGCAAACTGCACCGAAGGAGGAATCAGCGGCCAACTTCCGCGACTGGCTCCGGTCAGTTGCTCCACGAACAGCAATCGTCTACTCAGACGGATCCTCTCCGCAGAGGAGCCGCAGGGTACGGCTATGCAATACATTTGGATGGACTCACCGTCCTCGATGGAAACGGGCGCCTGGGTCCCGCTGAAGTCTTCGACGCTGAGGCCAAGGGCGCCCTTGAAGGCCTCCGTGCTGCTCTCGGTCTCCCAGGGCCAGAGCGAATCGCCGTATGCCTCGATAACCTTGCAGTCGCGTCGTGCCTGCGAGGCATGCCGTCAGACTCGTCCCAGAATGAGTTCCTGGAATTCCAGGCCTTGGCCGCAGAACATGGTGCCACCGAGATCCGTTGGATTCCCGGCCATACCAACATCCCAGGCAACGAGCAGGCCGACGCCTTAGCTAAGGCGGGAACCTCTCAACCCGAACCGGTAGATGCTCTCCCGACGCTGGCATATCTGCGTAAGGTCGCTCGGCGGCGACCAAAAGACGCGTTTAAAGCCTGGTGGGAAGTGTCTGCACCCCAGCAATACAAGGTCCTCGACCTTGACGCCACGACTGGCTGCCCGCCAGAACTTACCATCCCACGACCTCTCCTCCACCACCTGCTCGCAGCAAGAACCCACCATGGGGACTTCGCTGACTACCATGAAAGGTTCAACCACGACGACGCACGACTGACGTGCTCGTGTGGGCGACGAAAAGAGCCAAAACATCTTTCTACTGCAGGAAGATCCCGCCGCAAGTTCGGATGAGGCTGGCGCCCTCACCGACCGCGGCGGTCAACCGAGCAATAGGAAGAAATTTCGACCGGTTCGTCAAGGTGGCGAAGGCAAGCTCGTTCTTCGGGACGATCTGCCTCGCCATTAGGCGGCTGCGCCTCTTCCTCCTTTCCCGCTTTCCTTTGTGTGCGTATTCTCTCCTCGACTCGGCCAGGCGGAGGGTGTTGCGACACCCTTTGTCCCGCCCGGGTCAATCGAGCTGCATTGCAGCTCCTCATCTCGTTCGAAGTTTGCCTCGTTGAGGCCAATATGAAAGACAATGTTGTCGCGCCTGGTCGTCCCGCTGACGGGCAACAGGCTGAGCAAAGGAGCGCCTTTGAGCCGATGAAATGCTGGATGGTGGATTGTGTACGTTCTGTGGAAGGCAGCTACTGCGGGTTGGCGCCCATTTCGTTTGCGCGTTTCAAGGTCATGGCTCACCCCGCTTTTGCTGTATCGATAAGTAGATTGTAGACTCCCAGTAGCTCAGCACGTCCTGTGCCCCGTCTCGGGGACCTGAGCGACCTGAAGGTCGCTGGACGCAAAATACAATAATAATAATAATAATAATAATAATAATAATAATAATAATAATAATAATCTTATCTTATCTCACCTTCCTTTGTCATCACACTTTCTTGGCATGCAATTGTTAAGAAAGTGGCACAATTTCTACCAATTTGCTTAACACGTGCACGACAACCTCTGCAGCAGCGCTCTGCGCTGGCTTCGGCTGCGGCCATGGCATCTGCCACGAGCTCGCATGCCAGCTCGGATCCCTTTGATCTGGGTGCTCATACCCCGCCTAACCTTGCTCGCTTAGCCCGTGCATCTCAGCTGCGAAATAGTTCTCCCATTGTGACCCGTCCCATTGGTCTCTCTTCAGCATTCCGGCGGCCGGCAGCAACGCCGTCGTCGCCCCTCATCCGCCTGTCCAATGCCGCCGCTACGGAAGGAGCGCGGCGTGAACCCGTCCCGAGCCTGCCCGGCACCACCGAGACCGACGTGCTCCAACCGGTGTCTATCATTGATGCAGCTAACAAACTCGCCGGCGACGAAACCGATGCCCACAACGCCAAAATGACGGTTTTTCGGGCCTTCTGCGAATCATTCGAGCAGACTGCGAAGCAATTCACATCTGGTCTCGAACACAGCTTCGCAGAGCACTTCTCCAACCGTTTTCTCGACCTCTGGAGGCAGACGCCCTCCGATCTCCGACTCGCATCTGCGCCGACGTACAGCAGCGTGGCCGCCGGTCGCACCGCAAGCCAGCGGCCATGTGGCCACTCTCCCACGGCCGCTGCAGCCCCGCAACAAGAGCCACAACAGCCAATTTCCCGTCTCCAGGGACGACCAATCCCCGCCCCGCCGAAAGAAGACCTCCGGGTTTTTGTGCGACTCCCGGCCGAAGCACCGGCGAGGGACCACAATAGCTACGCAATCCGGACCCACATTGCCGCCAAAGTCGGCATCGACCTTCACCAAGTCCCAGCCGCTTTCAAGGTGAACTCCGGATGGGCCATCAGAACAACAGATGCGACCATTCGGGATCTTATCGTCCAACGACAGTCAGAGTGGTCCCAAGACATGGGCGCGACAGATGTAGAAATCAGCCAGAGATGGTACACCTACGCCGTGGCAAACTGCCCCTATATTCTTACCGACCTACAGGGAAAGAATTGGACTACGAGCCAGCCGCCAAAGATGAAATCGCCTGCCAGACCGGCCTCAAACCCATCAGGGTGCGCCCGCCAGGCGCAAGCCGAACGACCCCTGACCTGTACCTTGATTGTCTCATTCCTCGAACCGACTGATAAGCCCTGAGGCTGTTTGGATCCAGTCGGCTCGCCCAATACATTGAGAGATCTAGCCTGCCCAGCCAGTGCGACAAGTGCTGGGACTTTCACGCCCGACACACCTGCGACCGACAAGCATCCTGCAAGCGGTGCGGACGGCGCGGCCACGACGCGGAAGCTTGCGTGGCCCTCGAGCGGTGCGCGAACTGCCTTGGGCCCCACGCCGCAGACTTTGCGAAGTGCCCTGCGCGCCCGAAGCGATCACACGGCGTCATTCGCCGTCTGACGAGAGAAGAGAAATCTCGCGTCCGAGAGCTGGGCGCTCAACTGTCCGCCCGGCGAAAGGAACAATACGAAAGAGTAGAACGATCCGAGCAGCCCGAACGGGATGCCACCTGCTCGCCGGGTGGTGTCACCGAAAAGACAGTAACGCCTGGGCCTGACAGGAAGACCGCCTCGGAATCGACGCACCTCACCCCCCGACCTCAAGTGCTGCCCGGGACGACGGACAGCAAGCCCAACCTCATGACGAAGCCCCACGGCGCGGTAGCGAATCGACCCTAAGCTCGACCAGGACCGTAACCCCGCCTTCCGTCATGATGGCCTCGGCACCCAAACCTCCGGGTGGAGGCCAACGACACAGATCTGCTTCTCCTACGAAGAAGCGACGCATCATTGAGGACTCTGTCTCTCCATGACGAGATACCCACGCACAAATCATGTGGCAATAAGACTCTGCGAGTCTTCCAAGCGAACGTGGGCAAGATCTCGCCGGCGCACGACTGCGCCCTTGCCCTCGCCGATTCCGAACATTACGATGTGGTGCTCCTCCAGGAGCCATGGACAGAAACAAAGGGCGGCCGATGCCTTACCAAAACACATCCCGCCTACGACACCTTCTCCCCGGTTGACAGCTGGGAAGACAATAGCACCCGACCCAGAGTCATGACCTATGTCCGCCGCAGGCCTGGGCTGATGGTAGATCAGAGGAGGCCCGCGGCAACTCGTGACATTCTTTGGCTCACGGTCAACGACATCACTTTGGTCAACGTTTACCGCCAACCGTCATACGACGAGGCCCTCGACATACTACTCCAATGGCCCGCGCCAAACAGATGTCTGGTAGCAGGCGATTTCAACGCCAAACACCACAGCTGGCAAGCCGGCCGCATCGAGGGCCGCGGCGAGGCTGTAGCTGCATGGGCGACAGCCAACGGTCTGAACCTGCTCAACCCGGCTGACGTCCCGACAAATCCTCGCGGCAATACGATCGACCTTGCCTTCTCTAATATCGCCTTGGCCAATGCCGTGGTGGAAGACCATCTTGCCACCAGCTCCGACCACTTCACGCTCAGCACTACCCTGCCTGAGCTCGCTGTAGCGCCCCCACCCACTGGGAAGGTTCGCCTTACCTCTGACGAGGAAATAAGACGCTTCGTAGAGATGGTTGAAAACGGCGTGGCGGCTATCGAGCCGTCAACCGCTTCCCTCAAGACTTGGATTCACTTGCCTTAGCAGTGACTAACCTACTTCAGTTTGCCGCCAAAGCTGCAGGCCGGCCGGTCCGCAAGGGCGCACGCAGCGCGCCCTGGTGGACGGAGGAATGCTCCTTGGCCGCGGTGGAGTATCGCGCAGTGAGGAGAGTCTACGCTCTCGGTTTCGGCCGAGAGGTTCAGCTCGCGAAAAGGAAGTTCCAGAGAGTCGTGCGGCGAGTCAAGCGCCGTTACTGGCGCGATCTGATTGACAGCTTCACGGACAGTGCGTCCGTCTTCAAGGCGGTCCGTTGGCTGAGATCGCCCGGTGCTTTCCAACCACCGCCTCTGCAAGTGGATGATACCGTCTATGAGACCCAACTAGACAAAGCCAACGCCCTGCGACGAGCAACGCTCGAACGTCGCACTTCGCAGGATGACATCACGGATCCGTGGGTCCCAGTGGACACAGCGAGGACGATTCCTTTCGCTCAGAACGTTTCCCTGGAGGAGGTCCGGGACGCGACCCTTCGCACGGGTAACACCTCTCCCGGCTCCGATAACATTACGGTCAAGATGCTCCGTGCCGTCTGGCATACCATTGGAAGCCTCGTCCACAAGCTGTATCAGGGCTGTCTCGACATCGGTCACCATCCTAAGCCTTTCAGGGAAGCGGAAGTGGTTATGATCACGAAGCCGGGGCGTCGGAACCTGTCAGAGGCCCGCGCCTGGCGTCCAATCTCTCCTCTCCTGTCTGGGCAAAGGCCTCGAACGGCTTATTGCGCGCCGTTTGGCGTGGGCATCCGTCCACTATGGTGTCTTGCACCCACAACAAGCTGGCGCATTGCCGAAAAGGTCCGCTGTTGACCTTGTCGCCGCATTGGTACACGACATCGAGGAGGCTTTCTCGCGCAAGCAGGTCGCCACACTCGTGACAATGGACGTCGAAGGCGCCTTCGACACTGTCCTTCGTAGCAGGCTCATTCTTCGCCTTCGGCAGCAAGGATGGCCTCGGAATGTCGCTCGTTGGGCTGGCTCCTTTATGCATGACCGAGCAGCACGTGTCCGCTACCAGGATGTCATGACACCTCGTCACCCTTGCAGTGCGGACTGCCGCAAGGATCGCCAGCTTCTCCCATACTTTTCCTACTATACACAGAGCCAATCTACCGCCTGAGCAACCCCAAGGGGCGCTTCGGCTATGCAGACGACACTGCCGTCCTTTGCGTCGGAGACTCCCTGGAGGAGACTGCCCACAGAGCGTCGAAACATGTTCACGAACTCATGACATGGGGCACCGCGAACGCGATAACCTTCGACCCCAAGAAGACTGAAGTCATGCACTTCTCCCGAACTACACCGAGGAATGCACCTCCAGTCTTCCATGGCGAGGTAGAAAAGCGGCCAGGCTCAGCCATGCGGTGGCTCGGCATCTGGCTTGACAGCACCCTGACGTTCAAGACGCACGTCGAGAAGTGGACTGCCAAAGCGCAAGCAGTGGCCTACCATCTCAAGGGTTTGACAATACCAACCGCGGCCCCTACCAGGTGCGGTCCGAGAGCCGTCCGCGCCTGCATCGAGCCGCAATTGTTCTTTGGGGCAGAGGCGTGGTACCCGGGCATGACCTGCCCGCGATGGAATAAGCCGGCAAAGGAAGGGCCATCAAGAATACGGCACCTCATCCGGCGGATGGACAAGTCGCTCAACACGGCCATGCGAGCCATCCTCCCGGTCTGGAAGACGACGCCGCTCAGCGCCAGGCACCGGGAGGCGGGCATACCGCCAGTTTCGCACCTGCTCCAGGCGTGTCGAACGCGCTTCGCAGCCCGTCTCAAGTCCTCGACGAAGCGCACCCGCTTGCGGTGCGAACGAAGCCGATCCGGGCCCTGTCATCAACAGGGCCATTAAGTTAAAATACCAGCGTCCACGACAACCTTTCCGGACCAGACTGCGTCGCACTGACGAGCTGCTCCCAAGGTGCGCCAGGCCAGACCTTCTCGCACGTAGGTTCGCCAGCGACCAGCGTGGACCCTGCAAACTGCGCCGAAAGAAGAATCGGCGGCAAACTTCGGCGAGTGGCTCCAATCAGTTGCTCCACGGACAGCAATCGTCTACTCGGACGGATCCTCTCCCGGAGGGAGCCGCGGGGTACGGCTATGCGGTACATCAGGATGGACTCACCGTCCTCAGCGGTAACGGCCGTCTTGGGCTTGCTGAGGTCTTTGATGCCGAGGCGAGAGGCTCCCTAGAGGGTCTGCGTGCTGCGTTGAGCCTCCCGGCTGCAGACCAGATTGTCGTATGCCTCGATAACCTCGCGGTCGCGACGTGTCTTCAAGGCATGCCGTCAGATTCCTCCCAGAAGGAGTTCCTGGAATTCCAGGCCTTGGCCGCAGAACATGGTGCCACTGAGATCCGCTGGATCCCCGGCCACACCAACATCCCAGGTAACGAGCAGGCAGACGCCTTAGCAAAGGCAGGAACCTCTCAACCCGAGCCTGCAGACGCTCTCCCGACGCTGGCATATCTGCGCAAGGTCGCTAGGCAGCGACCAAAAGACGCATTCAAAGCCTGGTGGGAAGTTTCTGCACCCCAACAGTACAGGGTCCTCGACCTCGATGCCACGACTGGCTGCCCGCCAGAACTTACCATTCCACGACCTCTGCTCCACCATCTGCTCGCAGCAAGAACCCACCACGGGGACTTCGCTGATTACCACGAAAGGTTGAACCACGACGATGCGCGACTGACGTGCTCATGTGGTCGACGAAAAGAACCAAAGCATCTCTTCTATTGCCGGAAGATCGCGCCGCGACATCGGATGAGGTTGGCATCCTCACCGAGCGCGGCGGTCAACCGAGCAATAGGCAGAGACTTCGACCAGTTCGTCAAGGTGGCGAAGGCAAGCTCGTTCTTTGGAACGATCTGCCCTCGCCACTAGGCGGCAGCAACCGCTTTCCCTCCTTCCCTTCCCCTTTGTTTGCACACACACCCATTTTCTCTTACCCGACTCGGCCGGGCGGAGGGTGCTCTCCGGAACCGGCCCTGTGAGGCCAAAACGAAAGACATGGCTGTCGCGCCTGAACGTCCCGCTGACGGGCAGCAGGCTGAGCAAAGAAGCGCCTTTGAGCCGATGAAATGCTGAATGGTGGATTGTTTACGTTCTGTGGAAGGGGCAGAAGACGCGGATTGGTACTCGTTTCGTTTCGCGTATTGTGGGCCTACTCCGCGATAGTAGACTTCCAGCAGCTCAGCACGTCCTGTGCCCCGTCTCGGGGACCTGAGCGACCTAAAGGTCGCTGGACGGAAAATACAATAATAATAATAATAATAATCTTATCTTATCTCTGGCGCCCATGGCATCAATCCCACCTGATGACCGAGATTTCGTTCCAACATACCGCACGTATGCAACGTCGCCATAGAGCTTATGATGGCCGTACACTGTAGAGCTTCGTCGTGATCTTATAGAGCAGCCATGAATGGGTTTCCGCAGAGCATGTTTGCTGGAGTTGCAAGATACTAATTATGTCAACGTATTTATGGGGGGTTTGGCTGTACATACCAACATGTCTTAACGCCTTGACCTGGTTTGGGTCGATAGACGCTAAATCACGCTTTGTCGCGTCAGGCACCAACAGGGGCTGACTGACGCGTCTGAGAAGACGCGCTTAAAGGTTCCCCGCGGTGATTTCCGCGAACCGCGTCACTCATTCGATCGAATCGATCGAATCCGGTCGAACGCATGGGAGCCGTTCGATTCGATGGCGACCAAAATGTGCCCCTGTTCGATTCGTCTGTCGAATGAAATACGCCACGTTCGATTCGATGCTGTCGAATGTCGAATGAGGTACACCGCGTTCGATTCGATGCGAATCGAATGGGGCCGTGGCAGATTCGATATCGAATCGAACGCCAAGAAATTCGATTCGATATTCGTAAGACTTGGCATCGAATGAATCTATCGATTCGATTCCCGTTCGTAAGATGTCCATCCCTGATCCGGAACACTTTGTGGCAGCTTGCTGGCATCAGCTCCAAGAAGCCCGTACTGCGGAAAAGGGTTCTCCCGGAGAGAATTCCCATATTGACGGACAGACTCGCTGAAAATCGGAGTGCTCATAACATCATCTTCGTGTCCAAGATGATGTTCTTCGGGTCCCAGCAGGTCGAAATGCGAGCTAAGGTTGGGCAATTCTGATCTCAAGCTTATCTGCGAGCCACTAGCTGTTATGGCTGAGGGCTGCGGAAAGCGCTCCCTTGCTATCCGAGTAGACTCGAATACATTGGCTGAGAGGAGCTGTTTTATTGTTTGGGAGACCACGTCGAAACCGTGCTCCTCGACCAACCTTGCAATAGCCGGCTGTGACTTGTGTCGATTTATAAGAGCAATTATCTTAGCATGTCGACGAAGCTGAGCACTTTGATCCTTGAAAATGTCGTTGAAAGCTAAGTAAATAGCTCTTTCATCCGGTGAGATTTCACTTGTCATTTTCGCCGTTGAAATAGCTTTGAACCTCAATGTATTGGCTTGTATTGAACAGAAAGAAAGTGAGGAGGCAGCCTGGGAAAGACTAACAGCAAGGTCGCAAAATGCTAGTTGCCGTGACTGGGTCTAGCTACAGAGGACAGTGTTAGTATTGAAAAGGGGAAGAAATACGAGAAAGCGGCCTCCAAAGTCGTTAGAATCTGCTTGTTGGTACTGCGAAGCGCTTCGCGAAATTTAGCTGGTCACGTGCTGTAAGCAGTTACACGATACTTTCCACCGTGTGCATACTAACCTGCTTCGCTACTATTTGTGACCCTCCTGAATCCATGGGCGAACCTTATTTTCTTTCCTCAACGCAGATCTAGACACCACGGAGTGGACTGATATGAGGTCAGAATCGTACTTACTCGATATGAATAGTTTATGCGCTGTCCCGATGATGTGAAGAGTCTGCTCTTTAAATTCCTTCCCACTTTGACCGCCTTGGTTTAAAGTTACATGAGTCCCAAAAAAATAGCAACCCCAATGGTATGGAAGTCATGCCATTACAAGAGTCATAGCGGTGTACGAGTCATGCCGATGTACTTGTCATGCCGAGGTATCAGTTGCTTTTCAAATGCCCATAAGCTCATTAACAATGGCATGCTTGGTTTTCTCAGGTGTAAGAAAGCGTGGACTCTAATGTCAACAGAAGCCGTAGGGCGTTCAGAGTCATATCTCTCTATCTCCAAATTTTCATTTCCAACGCAATGCACTGCTATTTAATCACAAGGCAGTAATAGCTCGTATCCGCGGAGCTAAATACGTCGTACTCTGGTGTATTGCTCAAGCCAAGAACTCCTTGTCGTGCCTTGTCCTTGCTATATAATAGAGCTCACATATCGCTTCAGTATCTGCAGGGGCCAGTTTGGTCAAATTTGTCCCTCTACTATCGCGCTGAGTGGGGGCGTTTTGCTTGAATTGAAATCAATGTTGCGCACTAGCTCAAAGCTCTCTTGCCCTACATTTCTCTATTTATTGCCCATACGCTCATTGAGCTTTCGCGACCTTAAAGCTGGCTTCCTTGCTTCTCTCCACAGCAGAGCCACATCATCATCTTGCATCTTGAGTAATAATCATGACGCCCAATTGGCTAGGAAGCCAGACATCACTGGCCAAAATTGACAAACTGCGAGAGCTCAACATCGGCTCTGTAATCCCGCTCCCCCAGGTATGTCAGTGTACGATATAGATGTTATTACATCGATTGACCTTGAGAAGGTCGCTGTTGTCGGTGACCAATCGTCCAGCAAAAGGTCTGTGCTCGAAAGTTTAACAGAGTTTTCGTTTCTTCGTGCCGCCGGTCTCTGTACCAGGTACACTACGCAGATTGTAAGTGACAAAACACAGGAACTGGTTTCCGTCCGTGGTAGGCATGGTGTGGCTGAACTGGAGTCAGCCACACGGCGTCCGTAAGACGGCGTCCGTAGCAAAGTGGTTCGGCGCGTACATCAATTGCCTACTAGAATCTCGCCAGAACAGTGTGCTGCCGGGAGCCCGACGGGAGCCGAACTGGCGGCGTCACTGTAACGGACATGGACTGACACTGACAACTCAAGCATAGCAGGTGCCAACATGAATCACGACATGATGTAAAGGCACCAAAGCAGCAAGGGGGGCCTGGGGGCCAGATATATCCAATCTCTGCACAAGCCTCTTGGCGATGCCTCCGCCATTGCTCGGCACCGCCGTCTCAAGCCGTATTTATCAAGACCCGGCTCCGGCCTCAGCCATGTCCTTGGACCAGACACCGGCCGCCCGACGGAACCAGCAAAACGTAAATCTTGGGCTCCATATCGCGGTTCGACATGCCCTCGAGCGACGATACCTGAGCCTCGGAAAGGCAAGGAAGAAGCGGGCCGTAGCCAGCCGGAGCTCGATTTACGCGAGGTGCAGCCCGAGACAGACTACATGCACGCATCAGAAGTCGTCAGCAAGGCCAAGAGGTGAAAAAGCCCCCCGGGCACAGGTCGAGTCTCACCGCGCGGCCCGCGACCAAAGGGCATGTAGGCGCTCCTCATGGTCTCGGTGGGCGATGCCCAGCGCGAGGGCACAAAGCCGTCGGGCTGCAGAAAGACGACGGGGTCTCGGTGTAAGCTAAAGGCCTGGGCCGAGACGACGGTACCCTCGTCGAACAAGCGGCCCGCGAGCATTGCGCCGCCGGGGGCACGACACGGGGCAGCGTCGACGGCGCCGCCGAGTATAGCCGCAGCGTCTCGTCGACGACGTCGTTCAAGGGCAGGCCGCGCAGCTGAGTCTCGATAAAGTCGGGCGGCAGCGTCCGGAGCGCCTCGACCAACTGGGCGCGGACTCCCGGGTTGCGGCACACGGCCCAGGTCAGATACGTTAGGGACACGGCCGTCGTGTCGGTGCCGGCCGTGATGTACGACTGGGCCTCGTCGCGGACCTCGTTGAAGGGGACTTTACCGTCCCGCTCGGCTTGGAAGAGGTTGGCAAACAGTGTCTGCCGCGCGGCCAGGGACGGGTTGGCTTGGCCTCGACGAGGCGATCATGGCGCTGGAGAGAGTCGACGGCGTAGTTCCTCATGTTCATGTCGTGCTTTAGCGCCCGTCTCAAAGCGAGACCTGGCAGCCAACTTGCTAAAGTCGACCATCCAGGGCACCGTAGCTCGGGCGGCGCTGACGCGGGCCACCTTTTCGAGGTCCAGCGAGTATGTGTTCTTCTGTCGACGCCATCAGCCCTGGCTGCGGCACCTTTGCCAGCGGCGGTACTGACGTAGCCCAACTCCAGCTTACGAAACGAGTCTCCAAACGTGAGCTCGCTGATGGCATCCGCCGTCATAAAGTGCCACCACTTGAAGACGTCTGCGGCGCCCTGGGCCTCCATCTCCTCGGCCATGCGCCGGATGGCGAGCTTGACGTGGGCGTCGACGCGCGGGATGGCGGATTTCAGCGCCGAATCTGATATGGTCTCGGCCAGGAGCCGGCGATGGCGGCGGTGAAAGTCAGCGTTGACCGTGGTGAAGAGCGACTGCTGTCCGGGCGTGGCTAGGCGGCGGCAGAAGGGCGACTTGGCAAAGGGCGGCTTGTTGCCGTATATGGCCTTGACGGCTTCGATGTCGGCAAAGTCGACCTCGCGGGCTGCCCACTTGGACTGCTCTGTCTCAAAGTTAGACACAGATAACGCGGGGTGGCTCCTAGGCCTTGCCCCGATTACGGGTGCCCGTGACCGAATGTGCGGCCGATTCTGGCTTCACAACAGTGCAACAGCTCACTGTGTAGTTGGAAGGACAGGAAATAAGAAGCAGAGCCAAAAACTGGGCGGAGCAAGAGATAATGCGCCCGGGGCTGGCTTAGACATAATACATGTTGTCCTTGAGCAACTCGTGGACCTCCTGGTTTGCGGCGGCAGAGGTCTCACTGCCGGTGGAGACGCTGTCGGTGTTGCTGACCTCGAAGATCTCGGGTCTGAGGCACGGACGCGCTCGCACACAATATCTGCGTAGTAGGCGGGCGGACAGATGCCGACCGCCTTTGTGGCGCGGCCATACAGGTAGCAGGGCTCGTGGGTGAGGCGCTCCAGCTCGTTGGCAGCGGCCGACTTGTACTTTTGGCGGAAGATCTCGTCGAGGATGACGGTATAGTGGGCAGGGCGCGCGGTACCCTTTAGCGCGTGGTGGGCGGTGAGGAAGAAGTCCCAGTAACCCGCCTGCGTGATGCCGCGGTCGATGACTGTGCCATTGCGGATGTTTCCCGAGTTGGACATGGACTCCTTGCTCGTTGGGAAGAAGCGCGTATGGTGGCGCTTGACCGAGACGACAACCGTTAGCCGCGGCGACGACGAGTTAGGCGGTAACTTGACGCGGCACGCCTCCCGAATCGACGGCAGCTCCTTCTCGAGCACCTGCGAGAACTGGCTTTCGGACACGCCGTCGCGGAAGATTACAATGCTGTCCGGGAAGTGGCCCTGGTTGTGCCGCTGCCACAGCTCCAGCCGAGTCTTGAAGGTGTCGACGAGCTGCCCGCTGAGCATCTCTTGCTTTGACGGCTGCTCCCACGACGCGGCAGGCCACTGCGCCAGGTCCTTGACGATGCTCGCCACGAGCCCGACCAGGCTGGGCGCGTCGCGCGCGTCCCGACCCGTCGCCATGTTGGTCGGATGCGCTACGTCGTAGCCGGCCACCATGGTCTTGCCCTCTTTTAGAAGGCTCACGTCCTCTCGGAGCCGGTGGTTGACGCCGCCGGCCTTGAGGTTGACCTTGAGGCCCACGTTGCCGATGCAGCACTTGAGCGAAAGCCTGAAAACAACGATGCAAGAGTCTCCAAATCAACAATGACTCGTCGCGACTCAGCTTGCAAAGTTATCGACATTTGTATATATATGTAGTACTGTGCTTCTGTAGATAGACATTAGGTTTGCGGCTGCTAAACGCCGTTGCTGGCTAATTCATGACCACAGCCGTCGGGCTCGCTCAAACTTCGCAACCGACGCTATGTTCAATTATTGACACATTTTGCAAGGTGCGCCGAATTTGAGATATTGTCGGAAGAAGTCTTGCTGTGCATGACCACAGCTTGCTGAACAAATCTTTTTGGAGGGTAAATCCAGGGTTCAATAAAATTTAGAGGGCTTATCAAGGCTAGTAAGTAGAAATCAGTGCGTTCTTCTACATAGATCTCGTTGCCGTCTGTGCCTCTGTCCGGCGGTTTGCCTTCGGCAATTGATATACGGGCCCAACCACTTTACTACACGGGCGCTCCTTACACGGGCGGCGGCTTTAATTGGGCCAAAAATTCTGCCGCCTGGTCCCTGCACTTGGCAGGGTCTGTAGCCCCACCAGCCACCACCTGGCAGAAGGCGGGGTGACATCCCAGCTGCGAGTTGTTCGACCTGTAGTGACAACTACCTAACTCTCCCACAACCAACTTTCCGTCTGAGCAATCATTCGGTTAAGCACCAATCGGCATGACATTGCAAGAAGACCAAACTGCTGCCAGTAGCAGCGACGGCTGTAGTGGATCCCTTCCGGGCTTGCCTCCATGCAAGCGCCGTAGACTTGCATCACAGGCTCGGACTCAGCCTCCTTTCGATCCTGAACCGTATTACGGCCTTAACGACGACGATGCGTTATACAATCTCTTCGCGACATGGCCAGAAAGCTACTTCACTAGCCTGCCGAGACCACACGGCTCTCGTGGCGTCGACGAGCCCTGGTGGAAACTACGTCAGTCACAAATATTCTTGGATGAGAGCTTCCGAGGAGGTGGGGCTCGGCGGTTGTTCACCCCAGGAATTCCTGATCCAGACAAACTCGAGAGACAGCGTCTACGCTGCCTCTTGAGGGTGGAGGAAGTCGATGCCCGCAAGCAGATTGTGGCCTGCTTCCAGTCTGCCTTGACCTTGGCCTGGGAGCTGGCAGAGGCAGATTCCTTATTGGCTCGCGAGTTGGCCAAGTGTCGAGAAGCGTCCTGCCCACGGCAAGCTATTTGGGAACTTGGTTACGATTGCCACGGCCGTATTACGTCGCCCACTCCGCTAGTATCATCGTTGAGCCAAGATGGACAGGAGTACGAAGAGTGGAACGGCTTCTCCGACGTGGAGCGTGGCGATTATAGCGACGTTGAACCTATTCCCAATCCACAAATCCCCGGTACTGGAGCTTCATCGATCGAGGCCCTTCACGCCGAGGTGAATGCATTCGCAAAGGCGAACGGGTTTGGCGTTGTCAGGCGAAATGGAACTGGGAGTCGAGCCAGGAAGACGCGATACGTATTGGAGTGCGATCGGTACGGTCAGCCACGCCCGTCTGAGGGGACTGGGCTTCGCCAGAGACGATCACGCAAGTCCGGCTGCAAGTGGAAGGTGATTGCGGAAGGCTTGGCAGAGAACAACTATATGTGGACGCTACGAGCATTTCCCGACCCTGAGCACGGCCAACATAACCACGAACGGAGTATTAGCCTCGCCGCGCACCCAGTTCACCGAAGACTTACCAACCCTGTCAAGGCAACAATCGAAACAACAAGCCGGCGAGTTGGCATCCGGGCACGTGATGTAGGGGGCCTTGTTCGGGACCGCCACCCAGGAACTGTCTATATGAGAAGGGACATATATAACGCCAGGGCGCTTCTGCGCCGCGAGAAGCTTGGTGGAATGAGCCCCACAGCCGCGTTAATCAAGCTTTTCGACGAGAGGGGCATCCCCTATATCGCCAAGTGGTCAGAGACCGAACCTGACCGCCTTGTTGGGTTGGTATGGACCTTTCCATACTGTATCCGTATGTGGAAACGCTTCCCGGAGGTGATAAGCTTCGACAACACTTACAACACAAATCGCTTCAAGCTCCCGCTCTTCCAGGCAACGGGCCAAACTTGCCTCAAGTCCGTCTACAACGCTGCCTTCGGCTTGATCGACAACGAAAGGCGCGAAGGCTTCCAATTCCTCGCTGAAGGGATTAGGCAGTTGGTTGAGAGGCATGGAATTCAACTACCCAACGTTGTGATCACGGACTTCGACCAACAGATGAAGGCGGCACTGGAAGATCAGTTTCCAGACGCTCAACAACAGCTTTGTATCTTCCATATCAACTCGAACGTACTACTTAACGCCAAGCGCAAGTGGAAGCACGCCAAAGAAGACAGCGACGGTAGCTCTAATAATGAGCAATCGCAGGCAACGTTAACTTCGCGCGACAAGGAGGCGGTCCTCGCGGCAGGGAGACAAGACGAGCCGCTGTCTCGGAGCAACGTCTCCGCGACCGTACCCCACAACTACCGTGGTGTCCTTGAAATGTGGAAGCTCGTGGCTTTTGCAGAGACAAAGGCAGACTACGAGAAGGCTTGGGTGCGCTTATGCGACGAGTTCGATGACCAGGAGGCCATTCTGATCTACCTTTACAATACCTACTTGCCCCTGAGCGCGCAATGGTCGCAGTGCTTCATCAAAAAGCATCGCAACTTCGGTATTCGCGTGACGTCTGGCACAGAGGCAAGCAATAATAACGTCAAGAGCTATCTGCTCAATGGAATGAGCCATCTATTTGGGCTCATCGAGGCGATAGAGGGCATGTTGGGTGATCAGGAACAAGACTTTATCGACAACTGTGCACAAGACGAGGTTTTAACCACGCGTACCTACTCTAGTCCTGGTTCTGAGTACCTGGGCGAGCTCCGCATGACTGCATCTCAACAGGGGCTTAATCTCATTGCCAGGGAACACCGCTACGCCTTGAAAGCGATACCAAGCAGGTCTCGCCCCTGGCCAGAACCGATCGGAGACTGCGGCGAGAACTGTTCCGTGTCCTGGCAACTGGGGATCCCTTGCCGCCATACGATCTACTGCAAATTGGAAGCAGGCGAGTTCCTAAGGAGGTGGGATGTCCACCCACGGTGGCATCTACGGGAGCCTTCTTCACGGGACCCTTACCGCCGAATCCTGGATCCCAAGATCGCAACGAGCCTTCGCGGACGACCGAAGAATACGGTTCAGCCTGTCCCCACGAGTATGGTGATAAATCGAGCGGGTAGCCGACGCCGAAAGAGTCAGACAGTGACGGGCAAGAAGACGGCCATCCTCAGGACGGGCAAGACGACAGGCGTTCGGGCTACTGGGCGCAGAAGTCGGCCGAGCGTACGGAGGCAACGGTCGGAGTGGGAGCTCATAAGTGATGACGAGAGGCAAGTGCCGCGACCGAGCTCGATTGGTCGTTCGGGTTCCCATAAGCCGCCCGCTGCCTCGGTGGACTCGACTGCACCGAACGCGCACAGCGAGACAGGCGTCAGTGAGTGTGTTATTGTTCGGACGAGCGAGAGGGTGACTAGATCCATGGCATCTTCGTAGGGTACACCGGTACATTGGAAAGCTGGCCATCCTCGCGCCTGTAACGGTAGGTTCTGACTGTGCACATATGTCGATGTCTGTTGCATAATTTCTTCTCGAATTCTGGACCGATTCTTAGTGTACCTACCTTTAGATAGCGTTAAAGAGCTGGACGGGTGCATCGTTTAGCGGTTGAAGAGGTCGTCTTGGTGAGCTGTGTTGTGCAGGCGTGGTGGTCTCACCGCCTTTGGTGGGCTGACGGGCCGTCTAGGTGGGGCTGGCGGGTCGTCCATACAGCCCGTGTAAGGAGCGCCCGTGTAGTAAAGTGGTTGGGCCCGTATATCAATTGCCTTGCCTTCTTCGTCCTAATATGAAGATTAAAAAAAGTCAAGATGCATTTCTCATGACATCCGCTAGTCCCCCTTCTCATCGCCAGAGACAAGCGTGCTATTCTTTAGAGCCCGCTGATGATATCATCGTAGGCAGCCACAATGGGCTTGTAAAGCTGGTCTGAATCTCCTACAGGGGTTCCAAAGTTGAGCCTCGCTGTGTCTCCAAACATTATCGACCTAATCCTCAGACAGAGAGGCTTCACAACATCAAGCCTCTCTGGAAACTCGCCCATAATCCTTTCAAGACCATTCATTGTCATGTCACCCTCCTTTGCTTTCGCAATGTCCCTGAAGCTTCCAATTTGCCAATTGCGTAAGTCGCTCTCCTTGGGCGGCTTCTCTCCACCGCCAAACCCATTGCTCCACGAGTATCGGGCACACATCCAAAGCAAAACATAGAAGAACGATTCAAGATCATGCCGGTAGGTGTGATCGGTCTTGCGCAGCACCTCGACCGCCATAAACTGCACCGTACCAGTCTGGTGCCGCGCTCCGCTCAGGCCACTTATGGCACTGCCAAGTGGTCAGACAATTGGTCGCCAGCCCTATGCCATGGCCAACCTTGAATTTCCATAACAAAACATGTGGCAGAGACAGGGCTAGACGTCAACAATGGCTCGCTTCGATCCCTACCCGTGCAATATATATGTACAGTATGTACTGTTCTGGAAACTCACAGCGTTCGGAAATTGATCCGAACGCAACGAAGCTTATAAAGCCTGTCACACAACAGGATGCACGAACAGTGTGGGTGACTGAGCAACGATCGGGAAGAAGATCCCCTGTGAATCGGGCAACGAAAGACTCTTGATTTCTATCTGATGAAAGAAACCTATCTCTCTTATATACATGAATAGAGAGACTAAGGGCAGCTGCTGCCTGCAGGCAGCAGCTTGACTAGTGTGACTGCCTATTAGGCAGTGGGCAGCACCGTGAATGAGCGTCTGATCGTGACAAAGCCCATTCCGGGCTATTCTTGATGATCATAAGATCATTCATCACGTCTTTCCTAGTCCACGGGCGTGGACGACATCTACCAAGCACCGAAGCTCCTCAATCTCTTGAAGATTTTCGGACATCGTATGTACTGGATGGAATAGGATGTGGAAATGTCGCTTGGTTGGTCTGTGACGAGGTCGTTGTCGAAGCTTTTGGGTTCATTTATGCAATCAAATCACACAGTTTTAAGTGGGTTCAGCTGCGGTCCGAATGTTAATCCGTCTTACCCCACTTCGTGAAGTTGGTCTGGCGCGTCGCAGTTTCCAGATTATGATGGACCGCAGGGCTTGCGCCAACCTAGTTTTTGACCTAGGCATTTACTTTTGATACAATAATTAACATCCATTCGGTTCCCGAGCAGCTGCCAGCAAATGCTATGCAGTCCACTGTCCAGTGATTAGTCGCATTTGCCCGGTCGTCAGCAGCTGGTTATGAGTTACGTCAGCCCCACATTTGTAAATAAAAATATGGGAAGGGAGGCGGCAGCACCAAGCTGAATAAAGCCCCTGGTGCCACCCGGGAGGCGAATGGGTGATATCATTGAGACACCCTATTGCTCCGAAATTCTGTCGACCAAATTCGTCAGATGTGATGTGCGGACTGCTGATTGGGTGTTGAGCTTGAGTGGACGGGTGGAGCCTAGGAGAGCAGAAGGCCGTCACCCGACGAACCTTGCATTTAATAGCGCACCATCCGCTTCACCCCCGCCGCACAGAACTTACCAGACATCAACCCCGCAGTCACTTTTCTCGCGACCGCAACCGGTTTCAGCAACGCACCATGGCGGCAAAAGTCCAAATCCCCGGCCTCAACAGCGGTCTTACAGATGCAGATATGGAATGGAGCCGTCAGCTGTACGTCACACGCCTTGTCCCATGCATCACGCAGACTGCCACGCAGACTGACCTCGTCCCGCAGGTACAACGGCCTTCCCTCCGATGAAGCCCAGCCCGAAGTTGAGCACCTTCTCCAACAGCTCGCCGAAATTTTTGTCCGAAACAACGCCCACAAGGTTTTCGGCGTCCACTTGGTCCATGGCCACCTCCAGATCCCGGAAAAGAAAGTCCTGTTCGGAGACAGAACTGGCCCACGTTGCCGCTGGACAAAGCCTACCAAGATGGACACATTGAACCTCGACACCTTGCGAGGGCATACTTTTATTCTCACAGACAAGGGCTTCCATCCGTACGAATACCACTCCGGCAAACATCCCGAATTAGCCCAAATCGAGGATAACTTCGTTTCCGAGCTGGCCGACTTCCTCAGGACAAACCAACTAAGCAGAATAATTGCGCTTGAAGTTCTAGACAGCCCGTTGCCGGACACCATGATGGAGCTTGTCCTGGGAGGTTGTGGAACCATGATGATGGAACCGGAACGCCTGAGAGGCTGCAGACCGTTCCGGCAAACTGGCTGGGCTTTCGTAGAAGAAAACGGCGAGCCACGTGTGTGTAAAGATGGGAAGCAGCATCATGTCACAGGTCCCAACGGCCACATCATCATCGTTGAACCGCCGAAAAACAATGAGATCGAGACTTGTTCAGATGCTCTGCATTTCTTGAGGGAGCATGGCCTTCTCAACTAGGTGCACAGGACATTAAGGAATTTTTTTTCCCCACATCCAATGTAGTCCACACCGTGATGAATGGTTGATTGGGACTTCTGGGGATGTTCAGAAAGTAAGACGACCCGTTCAGCAGTGCTGAATGAGCCCCACTTTCGGTGACATCAGCAAGGTGACCCAGCACCACCGGTGTTACAGAACTTTGCTCCGGAAGTTCACCAGGCCGATTTGTTAGTTTATGGGCTATTGGCTTGGGAACGGTAAATGTGACACAAGATCCCATCCTGCCATCTTGGTCAAATGCCGTCTGAAGGAGTATCAATGTGAATTTTTGAGCATTGTGGTTTCGTAAGGCCCATATTGCCTGCTCTTTGCCAAGCATGAATGAGCTAGCTTGGAAGCTAGGAGAGGCTACATATCGTCAACCATGCAAAGTTTGATTGTAAAATGGGAGCATGGCTCACATGAATCAAAGGCGGCAATCCTATCTGCGTGCGGCATGAAATGTTCTTGTCCAATATGTCTCTGTATCGGCGGGCTAAGCGCGCCGTTTCGCGCGGCTATGGTTTGCTCGCGTTGCGCGTGCACTGTAGCGTCGTCATCCGGGCCATGTTGGGCAGGGTCGGATATAGTCGCACTTGATGTGCAGCTGAAGAGTAGATCGGGCGAGGAGGACGCTCGTGCACCTAACTTGAGCCGTTAGCACCCTGACGTGGCAACGTATCTAGAAACACTAACTCTCTTGAAATGACCCCTGCACCCCCGGCTGCGGGGAAAGGGACGGTACCAAATCACATGCAGCATGTTGTGATGAATGAGTAGCGGGGTGTCTCGCAGGAGTGGGCAAAAGGACTCGGTCAAGGAAAGACGGCGCTGGGCGGTGGGTGACGGTAGCGGCGTCTGAAGGGCTTGCGGCATGGGAAAGATGAGAGGCGGCCCTGCTGGTATCTCGGTGGGATCTCTCACCCTTCTTGGACTCTTCTCTGGCCCACTCTAACGATTGCGAAAATTGCGGTTGGTCGGCCAGAAGCGAGCCCTGGGCCTGGAGTTCGGCCAATAAATCTGGGTCAGGCCAATGAGCAGCGGCTTCCCAGTGACAGCGGAGCCTTTGACTTACCGTAAATTTTCCCAGCATCAGCGGCAGCACTACCGGTGGGGAGACAAGTCCTCTGCCTCTTGGTCGCTCGATCCGAGGGTGCCGGAGCTGTTCTTTTGCCGTGGAAACCGCTCGAGGGCAGGGCTTGTTCAGACTCTGCAGTCGACGACAAAGTTGGAGACGTCCCAGCGTCTGGTGACGATGGCGGCGATGGCGGGAACGGGCAAGAATTTCCACCAGCAACCCTGATGTTGTCAGGCAACGGGGCTGGCAACGGGCAAGTCGCTTCAGTCTGCAAGAGTTCATTGTAGCCGATGGGCGGTGGACGATCGGGGCGAATGCTGCTCGCTGCCGATGGTGCCGGGTTTGCTCGATTGCCATCTTGGCCGTCGGTCTCGAGACCTGTTGGCTGATCGTCAAATTCCTCTCTCACCACAACGCCGAAACGGTCCAACCCAAGACTGGCAGGCAACCTATTGGCAGCCCGGTAAAAAGATTCAGACTCAATTTTGGCTGCCTTATAAGCGGCTTCCTGGTCTTTCTCGGTGGCCAGACCCTTGGCTTTGCCGCGCTGGATATTGCCGCGTTGGCCCTGCCTTCTCGCTTTCTCAATATCGGGCTGCGTGATCGGGTTCATGGAAGCTGGGATGGGATGCACATTGAGAGATTTGGCCCAATGTCGATCCAACAAAACTTGGTTCAACCTCCTCACGAACGTTGGCCAGTTTATCTCCCTCGCTGCAGCGTGTAGCTGTTGGCAGTAGGTGTGCGATATGGTCCCCCAGCCATAGTGGCGTGCGACCTGGGCACCCCAATGATCAGCCACCGTTTGGAGGGCCTTGGCACGGGCCGCCCGTAGCTTCGCTCCCTTCGCGGCTAGCTGCGTGAATTGTCGCCACGATCCATCAAGCTTGCCAGAAGTGCAATTTTGCTCAGAAGCTTCCATAACATCTCGGCAGATCGCGGACAAGATCTCCAAATTCTCGTGGTCACCCAGAAGGCTGTCTCGTGTTTGGCGGCATACCATGGCCTTCTCTGCATCGGATTTGCAGGAAGCGAGCTCGCGCTGCAGTTTGTTGACCTGCTCCAGTTGATGGCCGACGAGCACGATAGCGGGATCGCTCCAGGGCGAACCTGGGCACGATGGAGCTCTCGCCATGGTGTGCAAGGCATACGGTGAAGGGTGGGCTAAGGGGGAGAAGGAGACGGTCCGTATGGCCCTCCTAAGGGCAGGACTTGGACATGTTAATAAAAATACTGAGACTCGAGGCCTGTTGCGTTCTAATCCCTGTCTACCTTGCTATTGGTGGGTACTGCCCCATATTTGGTCATTCGAAATGGGACGAAGTGGAGCATACTGTAACCCAACCACCAGCTGGGGTGTCTGCGCGCCGCCTGCATATACGAACGACTTTCTTCCAATTACAGTTCTCCTATAACCTTTCGCCCTTAGTCTTAAGACGCGCGAGTACGAATATCTACAGTGCATCGGCTGAATCTTGCGTGTCTGGAGCGTATCTGGTATGTAGCCACGTACTGTGGGTTTTGTGACCTGGGGGCAGCCTCCGCACACTCAAAGGGCTGAGAACCGGTGCGCAAGCCAGTAGCGAGCATGGTACATGGTAGGCGAGAGCGCGCACCCCTTTTGGCAATTCATGGTCAGGGGCAAGCAGTGAAGCTGCCCCTGTTCTCGTATTGCCTGCTAACTGAAGGTGCAAGAGAAGCCTTGCTCAGGTCCTGCGAAACGAGAGTTCGCAAGGACCCTCTGGGCCATGGAGACCACGGAACAGCTGAGAGGGAGTGTTGACCTGCGAGGTGGTGTACGCGCCACGGAGCACCTTGTTTGGGACCAGGTGGCAGTCAGGCAGCATTCCGAGGCAAGAAAACGACGCTAATGAGTCGAGGGAAGCGTAGGGGGATGCTCCAGCGGTCCTATTAGCGTATGTCTGACCTCGGTAAACACACCTGAGTAACATCTTGTAGCTGCGGGGTCATTGCAGTCCCAGAGTGGTGCAGGAGTCACCACGGGTCGTCCCTGATTCACACCTTCCACTTCATTTGCACTACACATCTGCAATAAGATGCCCCGGCACCACGGGCCGCCATCGCACGAGACGGGTGGCGTCGTGTTGTCACGGCCTTGATTCACCCGGTAGCGGTACATGTAAGCCAATACGACTGAAAAACGAATCCCTGCAATGCAACCGCCCAGCTCAAGTGGCACGAGATAACCAGCACGAGGCATGATCGTTTGCTGGCCACTGTACCTACCCGTGCCACGCCCCACTTATTTCGCGTTCGTTCCTCACCAGCTCCATAAGCTGGTGCTGGACACCGCAGTAGCCAGTACACCGCAATAGCCAGATTATTGACTCTTCCAACTAGAATCGCTTCAACCATCGCGTTCCGCGCTCAGAATCACAAATTTCCGCTCGTCGCAGCCTTCCAGATGCTCTCCATTGACGTGCCTTTTTTGCTGCGTCTTCAAACCACCGCCTGCGCACGTTGCGTGCCTTCATCTCTGCGGCCTCGACCACCTTTCTAGCTTTGGCGACCTGGTCTTCTTCCCTTTCTGCACCATTTCTCGCCCTTGAGCGACCGTCAAGACTCCCCGATTGCATTTGCGCGTTCTTCACACTTTTTCGTTGTTGTTGGGTACGTTCAGCTAATTTTGTCCTTCCCAGATCCCTTTTGGTCTGCACCAATTCGGTGGCCAAAGATAGGGAACCCGAATAAAGCGACCCAAATCGCGAGAAAACTCGGGATTTAGATCTTCATCCTCTTGCAATACGGTTTCTAGCCGATCTGCTACTTTATTTATTTGCCGAAGAGTTAATGGCGTCTCGAATGGTGAAGAAAATAGTTCTGGACGAGGGGAGGAGGGCGTCCTTTGCATCTGACGAGCTTGCAATATCTCCAGCACCACTTGCGGATTGAGAGGCCATATTCCCGTTTTCCGGAACGCGGATTGAATCGTACTTGATTTGAAGGCTTGCGACCGTACTTGTTGAATGCAAGAAAGAAACTCGAGCTTCGTGATATTGACAAGGCCGTCTCGAATCATCACGTCCAGTGCTTTGGCGTGATAGTGCTTCAGTGGCTGAAAAACCACCACATCGAGGGGCTGGAGTATATGCGTGAGGTTTGGAGGCATACCAAATGGAATGATGCCATGTTGGTCGCAATACTGAATGAACTGCCTTGTGTGGTGGGAGCCGTGGCCATCGAGAATTAACAAGCGCTTCGAGCTTCTCGAGGTCTTTGTCGAATGTTTGTCAAAATGATGAAGCCATTCCAAGCTGATTTCGTCGTTTGAGTAACCGCTTGACGTGGGTCGGATGGCCGTGTCGGGGTCTAGTCCCGGTATTTGATACCATGAAGTCATATGCATCTGTCCAGACAGAATCAAGAAAGGTGGAATGGACTCTCCGCTTGCTGAGATTGCCTCGATGTCAGTGGCAGATTCTCTGTTCTCGGGGATACCAAAATAATGAGCTCGCTTTCTTTTGGTGACAATCAGCTGATCCTTGCCAACTCCAATGCGAAATCCTGTCTCGTCCATATTCCAGATATCTTCAGGTGGTATGCCCTTCTCTTGGATGACTTGCTGGAGATTTTGGAAATAATGGGTGACTCTTGTGAGGTCCTCCGATGCCTGACGCTCCGAGTGGAGCTTTTTTTGGAGCTTCTTGAAGTAACCGTGACGCTTTAGAAAACGAGAGGTCCACTTGCTGCCGATAACTAAATCGGCTTGACCGGATCGCTCACGCAGAATATTATTTGCCGCGTCGGTGACGAACTCAGGGCGCACCGCAAGGTTCACGTTATCAAGGCGATCGATGTAGCGACATAATGCTGCCTCTTCTGGGCGCGATAACTTCATGTTCGTGGCTGGTCGGCCTACCTTAGGAGGACGGCCTTCGAGGCGGTAACGCAATCGATTGCGTGGAACACCGAATTGTCGGGCCACATTGGCGACTTTTGCATCAGGGACATCGCCGATGTATTGCATCGCTTCTAGAATACGCGCTTCCATGTTCCTTGATGCAAAACGAAGTGACGTGGGTGGAACAAAGCAGATTGAAGGCAGACGGTGAAAAATCTGGCTATTGCGGTGTACTGGCTACTGCGGTGTCCAGCACCAGCTTATTTTATTTTTATTTATTATATTCCGCCATTGACGATAGTCAGAGGCACTGCGTCAGACTCGCTAAGCCTAATCTAGAGCTGTCCAATACTCGGTTCCGAGCCCAAGGAATTCGTCCCGATCTAATCCCTGAATTTCTCTTACATCCTTCAATCCGTCTCTTGCTCACTTGACCTGTCCTTTCCAATTCTGGAGCCTGTCTGATGAGGTACAGACCACTCTCCTCCGCCGCATTTGACGAAGAGTCCACCTGCCTTTAGCCGTCCGGTGTAGCTAACCTACCAGCTGTGGGGCAACCACAGGTATAGGTAGAGGGTTTGTGCTGAAAAGAAAAGGTTAAGACAGAGGATGTATGTTAGTAGGGCGACGGTCGTAACTTGGCGAGTTCCCGGCGATATACCGGGCACCCAGGATCTGTAGCCTTGTGTGCTCCTTTTCCACCGCACGCTGCACACTTAAAAACGTCCGAGGTGCAAGTCGACGCAGAATGGCCCGGTTGGGCGCACTGTCCACAGATCGGAGCTGGCGCCTTGCAGCGATAATGCAAGTGTCCGTAGAGGTGGCAACGGTAGCATCTCGCTGGTTGAAGTCCCTGAACAAATGGTCGCGTGTATGCACACTCGCCATTCGCCATCTCAACCGTTCGTTGTGCAAGCAACCTGTCCACCTCCTCTTTCTTATCCAGGTGTACCACCAGAGAGCGGTATTCCTTGTCGACAGACGCTGTCCCGAGCCATCGCATCTTGTGCACTTTCACCCCGTTCATCCGCTCAAACACGGCGCATCCGATATCATCCGTCGCAACCCCACGATGGGCTCTATCAACCCGTAGAGGGTACCACTGTTCCCCATATAGCGTTCCCTTGTCGAAGTGTGTCTTTATCCAGGTGTCGTTCTGCCGTACTTTATCGACGTCCGTCTCTCGAAAGAGAAGCCGAAAACGCCCTTTTCCCTTAGAATTGACGCCCAGACAGGTCACACCCAACTTCTCGAGGGCAGCGTTCGCTGGAGCTGGTGAGGAACGAACGCGAAATAAGTGGGGCGTGGCACGGGTACTGCAAATGTCGCGAAGCAGATTTGATGTTCAATTGAACATGTCACCTGAACAACAGGTGGCTTGATTTTTCGTGACAGTTATGAGCCCGGGAGGAGGGGCTAACCCCTCCTGGAACTTCCGGTAACTGCGCACGACCACCTAGGCTAGCGCGCACCCCGACGGAGTCAGTGTTCGAGACCTGCACCTGTGTAATGCCATAGCCAGAGCCCGAGGCACTGTCGCAGAGTAGCCCGAATGGCACTGCGCAGAGAAGGCCCAGAGCTAAAGCGAGAGTGGTCTCAGGAATCCCAGGCTAGCCCGTGATCCCTGAGGGGGTGTGTCGCGAAGCAGATTTGATGTTCAATTGAACATGTCACCTGAACAACAGGTGGCTTGATTTTTCGTGACAGCAAATGCTGCGGTCTCCGTTGCCTCCATAGAGTCGTAAGATCCACTAGTCTTAGGCGCCACAGACCTATGTGGGCAGCTTCCCGTACTCGTACTCAGGTAATTAAAGATTGTCCGTTTCTGGAATATTGAAAGTAGTCGTTTTCTTCTTCTTTGGCTACGAGGGCATGAATGAAAGGCCACGCATTTCGTTGACGAATGGTGCATCCCGGGGCAGCAACTTGGTTGTTGTGGCTGGGAAATTCTCAAGATACATATTCTAAAGTATATGTAGCCGCAAAGTAGATGAGGGAGTGGGAAAGGCAGGAGACGTGGAGCTCATAAACGCCTGCGGGACACTTGTTAAGGCCCAGAACGGTAATCCGCAATCTGGTGGGTCACAGCGGCGTCGATTCTGGTAGGGACACTTTAATCGACAGGCGCACAGGGCTCGAGCTTACCATTGCCCTAGCCTATGGGGCCTAAATAGGCTCGTAAATACACAGCAACTTGCCGCCATACGGTCACCGCGACGTCAAAAAGTATGAACAAATACCGGAAGAAGGACTTGTACGTAACATTCCTACCTGTCGCCAAGGACTGGCGATACTGTAGAGTACAGTACGGTAATAAAACCATAAAGACATGTTGTGCCAGTGGAGATGCAGACACAAACACCGCGCCGGCATCAGGTACAACCGACGTTCGCCATGGTGAGCACCACTTTGACCTCAAGTTCGAGGAAACGAACAGCCGACGACCGAAAGCAGCTCAGGCGGCGCTGCAGGCAGGTGCTCGCGGATCACATCAGTAAAGAAACATGCGCCAAGCAGTGCATAATGGGTTTCGCTGACTGACCCGTGCAGAGCACAGGACGGGGTGGGCCATCGAGCCAGCCAAGGTCCGCTTGGCCCACAAGAACAACGAGTGGTATTCGTGGACCTTTCGCCCGGAGGCGGCGCATCTATTTTCCAAGAATCTTAGTGATCACAACGCTTCAGCCTTCCATGAGCTCTGTGCCGGCGTTGGCGTGACTTTCGAGGCCGCCCTATCGCCGTTTGTAGCCCATGCGGGCGCTGCTACCCCCTGCGAAGACTCTAGCACACCGCCCCGTGAAATCACGCCGCAGCAACGTCGCAAACGATGCTCTGCGGAAATAGCGGAAGGAGATAAAGCGACCAGGTCGGGCGACAAGTCCGTGGCGTTGCTGCAGAGCATTAGGCAACTGCAGGAGAGCCAAGACGCAGCAGAAGCCGGGAAGAGGCTTGCAGAGCGAGAGCTCGAGGCAGCCCGAGAGGAGTGTGAGCGGCTTAGCGAGGAAGGCAGGGGAACAACGGAACGGGCCATATCCGGCGAGATTCTTCTATGCAAGTGCCTCCATATGCTGAGCTCAATCCAGACTTCAGTTGCCGGACTAAAAGACGAGATCAACGAGGCGATTGGGAGCAACGCCTTTGGCATGGGCTGAACTGAGGCCGTGGTTTGGAGTCGATCACGATATCCTGCATTGGCTGGGCGATGTCTACGTCCTCCGGCAGCACAAACCCCGTGTCTGATCGTTGGCTTGGGCTCCCCCGTTCCGGAAGAAGTGCTTGTTGTGAGAGTTGTGCTGCGGCCTTGACGAGTTTTAAGGGCCGTGGACGGGCTTTCACGAACTGGGCTCCTTATTTTTCTTTCATGCATTGGCATTTCACGTGGGCCTTGACTCAGGCCATATCTCACATACATATCTAGATGAGATGAAGACTCAAAAAGTCAGAAATTTCTACTTCCAGGAAATAAAACACACGCTTTGTCGCTGGTCCAAAGACCCTGGTCTTCATTTTATTCCCGTTGCGGCTCTGATAGTCCTATCTTTGCGCCAAACTTGGTCCGGCATTTTCAACCCTACGTCCCTCTACACCATTGCGCTTTTACGAAGAGGAATCTCCCCGCAGCCGCCCAGGCTTACCTCTCTGATGCTCTGTGCCGATGTGACTCATGACAGTCCTGATCTTTCGTCCTATCTCGACCTCGACTCTCCTTTCCCTTTTCGTGCCGCCTATTTTGCCTCTTTATTACCGCCAATGCCTCTTTCTACGGACCGCGAACCGCAAACCTCGAACCTAACACTGTTCATGACCATGTTAAGAAACATTACGCAGCCTATTTTGATGCAATCTTGGTGCCGTATACGATTGATAAGCTACGAAGGCTTGGTAGACTCTTTTGAGACGCCGAGGTTTGGGAGCCAATACAGGCACGGACCCCCGTGCCTTTAAGAGGCACGGACCCCCCCGTGCCCCCATTATTCAGCGCAGTGACTCCCCCTAAACCACCTCCAGACTCCAGTCCTAGTAAAGGTATCGCCGACCAAAAGACGCAGCCGACAGCCTAGCCGAATGCTTCTATATTTTGACAACGATACACTTATCTGCGCCACCAGCTACCGAATACAAAGCCTCTTGCTCTCGGCTATCTTCCTCGACCCGTTGCCATATCTCTTTCTTCACACCCTTTCTCGCATTTGCGAGAGGATGGTCACCCATCTCCTTCTCAACTTGAGCTTCCACGCGATCATCTTCTGCCCGACTCCAGTCTAAATATGCCATCTGCTCCTCTTTTGTCCAACTCCTTCGCCCTGTCGAGGTTAAACAGCGTACAGACATCTGCTTCAAATTCGCCCTCGGGCTCGGGAGGAAGACAATCAGCGGGGAGTTCTCTGTTTCTTATTTTTAGGTCCATATTGCATTGGATGCGTTGCACAACGCGCGTGTTGGCCACGGTCAATATAGTAGGACTGGCAAGGTGTTGGCGTCTTATTGAGCGGGCCGAAGGCTGTTCCGGCTTGGAGGCGCGGGGGCCGTGCCCCTTAAAGGCACGGGGGTCCGTGCCTGTATTGGCTCCCTACCGCAGCTTTGTTTCCTTGTGGTGGGTTTTGCCAGTCCGCCATGGTCGGGTCTAGCGCAGGCCAGGGCATCGGGGGTGAGTAGCCCGTCAGCATCGCCAATGCTGTTCCGGCGTGGAATGACGTTAGGCGGAAGGGTCCAGTGTACCAACTGGCTGACTTTTCGAAGCCCATCATTGTTGTGACCGACCATCTAACGGGTTTTCGTTTGCTCGTGTTGCTGGGCTCTGCACTCGATACGTCCCTCAAGCCCATTATTTGAGACCTCATTCACGGAGCTGTCGCACCGGGGTCATGGAATATCACAGAAATTCAAGGGTCCACGCTAGTACAGGCGTCTTGTCCCAGCGGGTGCTATACAATATCTGGACTATCAACATTCCAAAACAGATCTGAGCAGAGAACACTAATATTATTGCTTAAATGGCAGGACTGGGGATATGTTTTGGCTCCAGGCTGGCCACCGACCAAGATCGGCGGTGAGGAACGTCTGCCCACGCCCGTGGTCTAGAAATTGTGACCTTGGCTCCGTCATGCTGTGTTCGCCTATCCAACGATTGACCTGAATTTGCATGAGTTCTTCGAAGCTCGCCTCGCTCCTGCTCGCTCTCTCCCTCGCGGATTCCGAAGGAGAGTCCCAGTACGAGCGAAAGCATGAGAAACTCTCGGTACCCAGAAGAACCCACCCTCCAAGAGCTTTTCGTATGGTAAAGGCGTCGCCGAAATAGCGTATCAGAGCCCCGACGATGGCTGCAATGCCTTGTATGACCGCCTGTGTCGCAAAATCGCTTCCTTCGACTGTTCCGCTGCCCAGAAGTTCGATCGCAACATGCTCAGCTCTGGTCAGTTCGAACATTCGTTTCAGCTCTGTCGCCAAATGGCTTCCTTTGTCATCCATGTCGCGCATATCATAGCGTACAACAATCTTGCGCACCATTCTCCCAATCTCACTGCTATTATTCACTCCGCTTCCAGGAGGGTGCATAAATGCGTGAAGGCCATCCCACCAAACCAGGAACTCGTTCTCTCCGTAGTATATCTCCTTAGCTTCTACCCCTAGGATCGTTCCCAGCTTGTCAGTTCTCCTCGTAAGCTCTTGGAGCAGCAGAAGCCCCGAGGAGACATCTGGATTAAAGTCATCCGGCTCGAATAACGGATGAATGATGACAGGATCGGCTTGCACTAGGAGTTGACGCAGAATCGCCTTGCGATTGTATTCTGGTAAATTATACAGATCCTCCAGCGCGTATGAACCCATTCCTTGAGCATTGTTCCATGCCATGACTGCTGTCGGACGGTGTGCGATCTTGCCGAATTGTGTCTGATAACTACAGAATCTAGTCGGCTTCTTCAAGCTCGCGGATATGGTCACTGTGGTGATTGCCCTACAATGTTGGATACTGACTTTGTGCGTATTTATTCACAATACAATCCGAATGAAGGTCGCGGCAGTAACTGGATGTTCTGGGGAGATGCTAGGGCGGCTCGAGTCCATAACCGCCACTATTGTCTACTTCCTGTCATAGTGCCATGTCCTGCATTCATCGCCAGGAAGATTTCTGGGATTAGTCTGGTCCAGGAACATATACTTAGGCGAGTCTCATGGATTCCTTAGTTAAATTTTGCAGCAATGATACTGTACGATGCGATAGAGTGGTGTATCCCCTCCGTGCCCTCTCGAGCCGTGAAATTTCGAGCACCCACGGAGCGCCGCACGCGCGATGGGAAATTACTTCAATACGAGCGGAATATGACTGGAAAAATAATACCAACAAAGAGAGTTGAGGTAATTGGGCCTCCACGCAGCAGGGAGCTCGAGAGAATTTTGGGGTAGGTACGAAAAATCTGGCGGTTATGATGCAGACAAGAAGCTGACGGGACTAAGTCCCAGAGGGTCTTGTCTGCCCTGGAAGTGACCTTAACAGCGGTATAACGCATTAAGCTTTCCCAGGCTTGTTCATAAGAAGGGCGGTTCCTACGTCCGTATTTTGACAAGGACGCTTCTAGCGAATGCACCAAGTTACGTCAAACGCAGCAAATATTGCCCCAGGCCGATCATAATATTCCAGATCCATTACAAAGCAGTCAAGACAGTCCGCTCCATGGTCTGCCTTACGTCCCAAGACCCGGACTACAAATATTGCCTTTCTTATTCCTCATGAACATCCGTGCGTCAGAACCTCACTGTGAGTCCCAAAAATACCCTCTGCGACTGCCATTGAATAGATATATTCCGCGGTGGCATTTTCCGGGGCAGCTACGATGGTAGTGAAAGGGCTAGTTGCACTCCTGGCCCTGGTTGCTCAAAGCTGGGCGGCGTTCATTCCCGAACATCACCACATCCTCAATGGTCCTCATGTTCAAGTCTTGTTTGCGAACAGCACCGTTGTGGCAGTGGACCCATTCACGGCAAGGACTATTCCTATACCTGAGTCCAAACCATCGACGCTGACTCAACTTACTGGTTCCATCACGGCGGAACTTACTGTTGGCGTCAAAATTTCGTCCAGAGTACAAAGCGGGCAACGGTCAAAATTTTTGACTGTCATGGTGAAAACTACAGAGACCAGCCATTCTGAACGCTGGACCACTGGCGTCGAGCATGTCACTACCCGAGGTGATACAATTTTGCCGACCACTCCCCCACTGGCACCAAACGCTCATGTCAAAACGGCTGGACGCAAGCCTTCTACATCGCTTGCCATTAGCCCGGCCCTGCCAGATCTGACTCCAGGCGCGTCGATTCCGACAAGCTCCGCAATGCTTTCACAGGCATCTCCACTGCGCCACAGCTACAGCTTTCAGACTTTAAAGTCAGGACATCGCAGTGCCATTAGCCAGGCCCTGCCAGATCTGACTCCAGGCGCGTCGATTCCGACGCGCTCCGCAATACATTCAGAGGCACCCCACAGGCCGCGTATACAATTGAGTGCAGGTCGTGTATCCGGACCGGTTTCTGCTATCGCTTCCATCAGTACCTTGGCGACCGGTCCACGTGGACCACACCGCACCACGGACCCATTGTCTTTCGAAGGTATCTCGGATTCGGCGCCGAACACAACAAAAATATTCCTCAACCCAACGCCCGTTCAAGGAGCTAGGACTGCGATGACTTCAGTCTCACCGTCGTCCCGCCTCGCTCCACATACGACGTCTCTCGACGTCCTACACAGCATCAGCTTGCCATCATCGGCTTCTCTTTCAGTCTACCCCGGGTTTGCATTTCGTCCGTCTTTGCCATCCGATAAGAAGCTTGCCCATGAAATACTTATTGGGAACACTTTTATTTCTCAAGGCAGCGGGTCGATTTCAAGGATAGCAAGCGACGTTTTGCCTTCGTATCCTTCTGCCGCGGGGAGGCTATCTTTAAGTGACCCGCCAACAGTAAGCACGTTGCAGTTGCTACCTACAGACCCAGACAGCTCGGCTGGTCCGATTGGCTCACGTAGTCCTAAGCCTGAGACAAGCCTTGACCCAACTGTCGTGTTCCAGCAGCCTGGACTGGCGACCAGCGACAAGGAGCCCATTCCCACTGGGCGATCCGTCACCGCCACAGTACCAGCTGGCAGTAGTCCAGAGGACGATGCATTTTCTTTCAACGAAACAGGAGACCAATCTCCGAAGCAGAAAGCCACCACCGCTGGCATTGCCAGCGGCGCAGTTGGACTTGGCTTGTTGTGCGGTGCAATGACATTCGTTGTTGCCAAGCGGTATAAACATCGTCGACAGTCGTACCGACGTTTTAATTCTGCAACGACCAGTCAAAGTTCTTTGGAGATACGGTGTGCGGGGCCTGGGACCAGTCCGCCTGTTAGTCCGACTACACTCCGAGGTCCGTTCTCACATCATATCAACAGTCCGCCCAAGCACTCCGAAAGCGGACAGGGGAGGACAAATCAAAATCGAGGCCCAGACATTTTCAGCCCACTTGTAGTTGATAACATACTCAGCTGGAAGTGACAATGGTATTCAAATGCACTGCGACACAGTAACCAGCGGCTTGATTTGTTTATTGGACATATTCCCCCAGGCCAGAACGTAGCGCCAGTTGGCAAAATGCAATGCACTGCTTTCGCCGGCATATGCAGCATCCCCGACCAGAGTGGGAACATCCATTACTTGATTACGAACAGTGGTTGGTGTAGCAAGCGTGCCCCCAGACACAGACCATCCAAGCGTGCGCGACCGTCGCGGCCATCAGCAACCTTCACAACCCGACCTTCGAGTACAGAATTGTTGCGACGTCTCAGTACAGGACAGTACAGTAATAGACGTGACCCATATTTGACCAATCACTATTGCGGATTAGAGAGTCATGCTTGATGGCTGCCTTCCGGGGAGGTCTACCTACCACAACGGAAGGGTTGCTTGCGGACAGGGTGTGTCGAGAGCCCTTAACCTCCACATCCGCTTTTAGCGCACGCTTTCATCTGCCGCACATCTTTGAACCATACTGGGACTGACAAGAAGATATTTATGATTGAAGTCGAAAAGTAAGCGGCAGAAAGCCACAGCATGATCGAAGGCCAGCCGCCTCAGGTCATCTAACAATGTACCGGCGACAAGAGCAGTCAGCCTTGCGGACTCAGTTCGGAAATGTTGTTGAGCAGTTCCGTCACGGCTGGGAGTTCCTAAGTAGCACAGGGTGACATGCTATGCAATCATCGGCTACGCGGCGTCGGACATGATTTCTACGGATCCCCAGAAAATGCAGAACATTCGAAACAAGATTATACAGTTGGCAGAGACAGCACCCTTCGACTGGACACGGCACCATTACTTCCACTCTGCATTTATCTTTTCCGCCGTAGACGAAATGAGCGATACATCCGAGGATAGCGACCTACGGGTCCGTTTGCTAGCTACTAAGTGCATCTCGTTAGGGTCTATCGACTAGCGCACCAACGGCGAAGCTCTACGAGGCGAGGACTTTGGAGCCTGCTTGCTGCGTACTCTAGGCTATATTCGTTGTCGTGACGCGACAGCAATACAAAGACACGTGTTATGCCTGGCGCATCTTGGCTTGACATTGTGATAGGGTAAAGTCGCTGATATCGGCATCGTATAGACGTACCGGTCGCCTGACATGCTCAAACTGATTATATATACGAAGAAGAGTTGTTACAAGCTATCGCCCGCAATTTGCGAGCTTTCCGAACTATGACGACTCCCCCGAAGATGGGACAGTGCTGCCACAATAAGTAACTAACCATTATATTATATGCCATGTTTGCAATGCATGCTCTTTAGGCAGTTCGTTCTTTTTAGGGACGTATCTGGACACCCGCATATTCACAAAGGCACGCCAGGAACCACAACAGCCCGAGACACGTTGCTTGTAGCTACTGCAGAAGAATTTCCTAGTGTTCAGGCGGACTTCACCTGTTCCTGGCCTACCATTTACCATCTACAGTCACCAGCTCCGTCTCTGACTCCGCCCGTAGACAACCCTTCGTCTACGCTCACAAATAACAACACTGGATATACATTCCTCTCATCAGCTCCTACTGAAGAGGACTCTGGTCAAGGCCGTGTGCCTAAAAGTAGACTTCCCTAGGATCCTAAACCACGTTGCAACAGTATCCTGGACCAGTTCCATCGAACTCAGCCGTGCTCTTGTGGACTTCTGAAACAGGCTTTACAGCACGTGGTTTAAATGAAGACAAGCGGATATAGAATGTAAAGTCTGGCCAAATTATGCTTTAAGCCCAGCTCGCTATAATTGGTACATTATCTAGAAACAAGCTGTCTTCGAATTGCAAACCTGCAAGCATCTCTCAACAAGATAGGATCGTTCAAACGTGATATAAATGGATGCTATAGCTCGGTTAGTCTTTGATATTAGCACTTTCTTCTGCAAAGATTCGTTGATTCCTTACATCCATACTTGGCAATAGCCCCAATTTGAGCTCTTCCATGAATGAGGGGTCAAGACTGTTTGCAGGAGCTAAGCTCGTTGCGATATTCTCCAAAGAGTGAGCTACATAGGCGAGATTGGCCTGCCACAAGCAACTGTCGATGGTCGACTCAAAGCTCCAGTCGGGGACTGAGGTGGATTAGTCTCTGCACGAGGGTAAATAAGTTCGTCATACCTATCTTAACCAGGCCATTCGCGGAAAGCCGAATTGCTTGAATGCGAAATGCGACTTTTTTCCGGACGATATAATCAACGGCCGTCATTATCTTCTGTTAGGTAAGTATAAAGTATTTGCTTCGCATAAAGACAGGTTTTATTCGCTACCTGGGATAGAATGGAGGCAATCTCCGTGTCCGACACGGGAA